CAATTAGCTGTAATTACTCCTCAGAGGTGTAGCGAATCCAAGTTTTGTAATGCCCCAGTGACATCTGAACACCTATGCCAGGTCTCAAAGTAATTAGGCTGTAACTAGAGTACAGATACATGGATGGGTCTAGCAGGAATCAGATGAGGAAAAAGTGAGACTTATTGGTTAAATGGTAGACCCCCAAAGTGCTGTTACTTATGTAGATTTGTGATATAAAGCACAGGACTTGGGTTTACAGGTTAGATGTGAATCCAAAGTCCAGCACTCTTACTGGCTCACTTGAAAGGAAGGCAAGTGGCTGCCTGTCTTTCAATCTGCTTGCTTGTCTGTGTTGAAGTTTTTAGCAGAGAGCCTGGAGCACAGCACATCCATTCATTTAGGTGCGGGGCTGAGTGTCCACTGAGCAGCTGACCTTACAGGTCCACTGGGGAGCAAGACCAAGAGCATCTTTACTTCGTGGAGTTTTTAATCTAGTAGAGGCTCACTTGATGTTACAGCAAGGTGTAAAGATGATTAGTAATCAGCGAAGAAGGGCGACATTTAGCGGAAACCCAAAGAAATGGTGAAGTGAGGATTTAGTTATTTTTGTTGTTAATCTTTTTTTTTTTTTTTTTTGAGGGAGATGCTAGATTTTTTTTTAACTGGCAGGATTTGTATTGAATATTTTTTTTGAAAATTGAAAATTTTTATTTCTATGAAAATTGAAGATTTTTATTTTAGAAACATTCAAACACACCCCCCCCCCCGCCCCCGCCAAGGTACAACGAATGAAACAGTCTCTCTCCCCACTGGACGTACCCTCAGCAAGTCAGCACCCGCCAGAGTTTTGTGGCAAATCTTCAGTCAGGTATGTGCACATGTATAATCCCGCTCAAACCCAAGCACACACATGAGACTGTGCTGTCCACACAGTGCCATCCCCTGGCTTTGCCCATCAGTGAGATGACTCGGTTGTTCCGTGTCCCCTGATAAGACTGCTGTGCCTTATCCTGTAACCAGTCCTGGTTGAATAGAAATGTGGGTACTTTCCTAACTTTCCTGTAGGAAATGTTCTTGTGCATACATCTTTGTGTACATGTACATATATATCACAATATAAAGTTGTCCAAATTGGAATTGCCAAGCCAAAGGATTTTTAAAAAATCAGGCCTGAGGGCCAGCTACCCCAGCCTCTCCCAAATTCTGAGTCCACCCAGACCCACTGGATCAAAGGCTCTGGGGCCCTGCAAGCTCTCTGTGTCCCCACCTCCAGAGCTCCTGAGTGGTTGATTCTGCAATGGGACGGAAGTTGCACATTTTGTTTGTTTCTTGATTTGTTTTGGTGTTTTGTTTTGTTTTTTGGTACCGGAGATCAAACTCAAGACCTCTCACTTGCCAGGCGGGCATTTATGCCACTGAGCTAAATTCCCAGCAGAATGATGCACATTTTGAACAGTTGTTAGGAAAACCTGATGCCAGTGAGAACTGGAATTCCAGGGACTGCACTTGGAAGACCACTGTTCGCAAGCATCATTGTTACATGAGATTTCACTCGATGTGCTTTTTTGATTCACTCTTTTCTAGAGATATTACCAGAAATCAGTTGTAAAGATTTAGTTTGTTTTGATTGGTGCTGTGTGGATCTAGCAGAGGTGCCTGGTTATGTGGCTCAGGGATGAGCCCCCTTGCAGAAGAAACCTTGCTCTGGGCAAACGGTTCAGAAAAGCACCTCCAGGCTGAGTTCTGCCTCCGATGCTTCCAGAAGGCTGAGCAGCGCCCCCAGCTGTGGAAGCCGCTTACTGCAAGTAGAAAGGGCAGAAGTCTAGAGATGTCTGAAGTTGGAAGACAGGGCCTCAGAAAATGCTTTCTCTTTGGTCTGAGCTGGTACGGCCTTGTTCTTTAGATAGAGGTTCTCAGCCCAGCTTCACATTGGAGTCACCCGGGGATGCCCTAGAAGAACCCACGCCTACGTCCCATTCTGATTCCTGTAGTTTGGAGAAGGCCAGGTATGAGTGGTTATTGCTTTATAATACCCTCAGATTGAAGGATTCTCTGTGGAGAAAAATCTAGAAGTTTAGATTGGCCCTCTCAGGTATTAAGCTACAAGTCCTTATTTAAGTGATGTTTCAAATCCTAGTAAAATACATATAAAATTTTCCACCTTAACCATTTACAAGCGTGTAGTACAGGTCAGTCGTATTAAGCACACTGACATCACTACGTAGCCAGTCTCCAGAACTCTTTTTCATCTTACGAAATGAACGCTGTACTACTACACGACTAACTGCCTCTTCCCTCAGCTCCTGGCGACCACCGCTCTGCTTTCCATTTCTGAATTTGATGTATACAGATAGATCTATACAGTCTCCATCTTTTTATAAATGGCGTGTTTTACTTATCATAGTGTCCTCAAGGCTCAGCCACGCTTAGCATGTGTCCGAATTTCCCTCCTCCTAAAATCTGTTCCTTTGTGTGACTCTGCCGTGTGGTGTTACCCATTCACCTGTTGATGGACATTCGGGTTACTTACACCTTTTGGCTATTGTGCATAATGCTGCTGTGAATACGGGCTTACGTAAATTATATTTTTAAAGGAAAAAAGAAACTCTTCCTATGTTATATATTCACCTTACCCAGTTCTCCAAACAGCTGTGAGATACTCAGTTATTACCTCCATTTGACAGATGAAAAAACAGATGCAGAGAGTTTGGTAATTTTCCCAAGGTAACAGTGTTTTCCAAAGTTCTCTCAAGGTAAAAAGTTCTGTCGTCCAGGGTATTTATTGAAAGTACCCGTTCCCAGGCCCCATCCTGTTTCCATGTAGATTGTCCTCACACTGGGGGTTGCTTGTCATCACGGGGAGATTGGGAACATGGGGACCAGTCAGCAGCCCAGGGAAGTTTCACTGAGCATGCAGCCAGGCTGCTTCTTGAAGGCCCTGGTTTAGGATTCCTTTTGACCTGAGGGAGTGAGCAGACTCTCTGATGGCATTTCCGACTTTTCCTTTGTGGCGGGACTGAGCATCTGTGACCCCGCTGGGTGCATTTGGAGCCCTCTACTTCTTTATCACAGCTCCCACCTGAAACCCAGCACTGACTGGAGCTACATCGTCCTCCCATTGCTGCCTTTTTAGAAAGAGGAACTGGGATGACTGTGACCCAAGTGAGGATAAAAGTCTGACTTTTCAATTCCATGGTTAATAGGTCAGAGCCCTGGGACCCTTGAGAAGTCAGAATGTACTGAATCCCTCGTCTTTATTGGAGGCTTGCACCCTAGACCCAGGAGGAGGGGGTGGGAGAGCTGGTCCCCTGCGGTCTCCCAGCAGAGGGAGCATTCTTCCATCTCAGGTGTTGCCTCGGTCTCACTGTGTTGGGAGGGGACAGCTTTTGGCCCTGGTTTCCTTAGTCTTATGCATCCTTTGCTATCAGAAACTCTCCGGGGTTTTCTGTGATCAGGAAATTAAGAAGGGAGGTTATCGTCTGGGAAGAAGCATGAGGGACCTCCAGAGGGGTTAAGAATGTTCTGCGTACTCATCTGGACAGTGGTAACCTCGTGTAAATATGTAAAAGATCACTGAGAGCACATTTTTCTGTGTGTATGTTATACATCTTTAAAAATAAAAATAGCTGGATATGGTGGCACACACCAGTATTCTGAGTACTCAGAAGACTGAGGTAGAAGAACTACCAAGAGTTCCAGGCCAGCCTGTCTACATAGTGAGTTCAAGGCCAGCCTGAACTACATATGGAAACCTGTCTCAAAAACTTGCATACATTAAGGCAGTTTTATATGTATTGATACCTAATGATTTTCAAGACGTATTTTAGAGGGGTGAGGCAAGATACTAAACAATGTATATCCTATTTCTGGCATAAAAAGAGTATAGAAAACTGTTTATCACATCTTTCATGTCATTTGAGTTTTGTACCATGTACATAGGTTACTAACTCAAAAATGTGTTTAGAACGGATTCTGGGGCCTGGCCTGCAGTTCATGGAATCAGCTTCTCTAGGGATAAGGCCATCTCTCCCACCCTGTCCTATTGGTCCATGCTGTCATCCTGGCCTGTCTTGAGCTGTGGATGACAAAAGGGACACAGGTGTCTGGAGCTCTGCTGCAATGATAGTGTCCCCGAGGGCTTGCTGGCTATGGAGGGAGCTGTTACCATCTGTTAGGGATATCAAGGCCAATGAGCTGGTGTCCAGGTCCCACCTCACGATTTTACTCTGTTACCTCCCTGTGCTCTGGGGTTGGACCTGGAAGGATGCAGTGAACGCCCTCACCTGTGTGGCCATCGGCCTCTCCTCTTAGCAGAGCTACTGAGACGGCCCAGCTCCAACAGCTGCCCGCTCACCAGCCAAGATCCTCCCTCCTGGGCTAACAGGCCCAGACACCCTCCATGGAGATGCTCCAAGTATTTCTGAATGGATCTGCTCTCCGGGTATCCTGTTCCCACATCACCGGGAACACGGTGCCCTAAGCCCAGAGGGCATCCTGGTCATCCTCTAGACTGAAAGTTTATCTTCCATTCTGTTCTCAACACTGATAAGAGGTCCCTGTAAATCCCACCCCCTTCATACCTTTCTTGGTGCCTTGAATCATTGTACACATGGATATAGCATTCCACCCGAGTTGCTGATCTCAAAGGGGTTTGCTCTTGCTTCTCTTTATATCTGTGAACATAGATGCTCACGCACACCCTGCATATACAGACCGATGCCCATGAGTATCCAAGCAGGTTTCTGCTGAGCCACGTTCAAAGGAACATTGTACACTTATTTGACACATGGTACCTCCACTCTTGGGCACTGCTTTTGCCCAGTTTCCTCTAACAGTAAGGCATCTGGGAACTCTAGACAAAGAGCAGTGTCTGTCTCTGTCTCTCTGCCTCTCTGTCAACACAGACACACATATATCAGAATGCATTTCTCTTACCTGTTTACTAACTCTCTAGCATACATTTTCTCCAGTGTTTGTTGCCCCGAAATGACTGAGTGATGACACCCTTCTGTCTACAGGCTGCACGTGGGAATTCGGAGCCATGGTGAACTACATCAAGAAGACGTACCCCCTGACCCAGCTGGTCGTCGTGGGCTTCAGCTTGGGGGGCAACATTGTGTGCAAGTACTTGGGGGAGACCCAGGCAAACCAGGAGAAGGTCCTGTGCTGCGTGAGTGTGTGCCAGGGGTACAGCGCGCTAAGGTGAGTCATCTCTGTCCTGCACGCTGCTTTCTTCCGTCAGGTCCTCCAGGTCGCGTGCGTTTTGTTGAGATGTCCCAACACACCAGATGCAGGCACAGGGAATACTACTGCAGACAAAACACAATTTCCCGAGTCTTGGACTCACCTGGTGTTGCTTTTGCATCATACATTGAAATTGTCATGTCAGCCTGGGCAAGCAGCTGCAGTAGGACCATGTCTATAGTCGGATCTGCCAAAGCCAGCTTAATAGCTGCTGCTTCCCTAGGGAATCTCTGTGAAGGGACTTAATGTGTCTGAGCTTCAGGAGCACGCAGGCAGGACGGTGGGCTGATGAGAGAACACGTGGCCAGCAAGCCAGGGTCTAAGCACGGGGCCTTATGATCCTGTCCCTCTCAAGGCTCAGAGGCCTCTGAAGGGGTCTGTGGAAGTCATTTAATCATCACCCTCACCTTCAAGGACTCGTCTCTCGTAGGCATCCCCTGCACCCTCTCAGAGGAGTGGACCTCCCAGGGAAAGGTTTCTCCTCCCTTGGTCTCTAGCCCACAGAGCCCTGCAGGACGAGTCTCAGCAGAACATGGCACCTGCTCTGGCTCCCCTGTCACTACACCGATAAGACCCCAGTCGCTTGAGTCATCACACTCACATACACCCCTCTCTGGACTGTTCAGATACATCCACAGTTTTCCTGTATAACTCTTCGTAGTAAGGCCTCCTGTGTTACAAATGAGTATGACTAATTCTCACAGATCTTGTGAAGAATCCAAAGTTTGTTGAGAAAGTATAGCAAACTTCCTTTATGGATACAATCGGGGGTCAAACAGAAGGTGCAATCAATAAGACCAATATCTTTCATGCCGTGGTTCAAGTCATCATCACTTTCTGCTGGACAGAGGCTATCTGCAGGATTCCTAAAGATACATGATACTGGCATTTGAAGCCAACACAACCAAAAAGCAAATGTGGATCCAGAAATCATTCTCTGCCATCAAGACGTAAAGCTGCCCCCAAAAAAGATCTGAATATACCCAAAATACGCATGAGAAATGGCCTTCTGAAACCTTTCCTCACTCTAGGGCCAAGGACCGGGTTTCAGTTTTCCTCCTCTGCAGTATGGGACAACAGCACTATTTATGTGGGCTGAATGAATTAATGTAGGTGAGATACCGGAACAGTGGCTGGTAGCTAGAATGACTGTCAGTCATTACCCTTGTCATTGTCACTGACTCAAATGAAGGACATGGATTAGATTAGTGCAGTGCAACCAGGCTGGTGAACTGATGACTGTCTCATTAAGAATCATTGAAGGGAAAAAAGAAAAAAAAAAAAAAAAAAGAATCATTGGAGGAAGCTTGTTAGAATATAAATAAGTTCAGTTTGGGAGGCCTTACATCTGGAGAGTCTAACTCCTGGGGCCTGGGGCCTGAGAATCTGCTTTTTGCATACCCTTCACAGCTAACTTCTGATGTTCAGCCATCTTTCCCAGTCACTGGGCTGTCTCCTGCCACAGTGTTCCAGGACTAGGTTAAACCCAGTTCTCCTTTTGGGAACCTTCCCATGTCACTATCAGGAGCCAGCTGAAAGGACACCGTCTCCTCTCTTGTTTTGACTAGAGATACTCACTTTCCAATTCATAGCCATATGGAATCGGAGATAACCAAAGTCCTGTCCTGTCCTCCCAGCCACTGGGATGCGAAAGAGGAGAGCAAGGGGCCAGCCTCCCAAAGGCCCTGGAGGGCACGGCCTGGAGGAGCCAGGAGCTCTGCGTCACCTGACAGCTGGTCCAATTTTCGGCAATCTGTCACCTATTAAATGGGAATCACCGAATTCCCTTCCTAAGTCAACTGCTGTGAACTCACTATGAACGCTGACACTCTGTTTAGTGAGCCCCGAATCTGATAAATAGGAGGATGCAGGACAAGTTTGTTTTCCTTCTTTTTTTCTCCCTACCTCCATGCGCAAAATCCCAAAATGACAACAGATTCATTTTATTTTGCTCCATTGGCGCCATCTGCTGTTGGAAAGGGCACATGAGCAGCATGGTTTGCAAATGAAGGTCTTGCAAGGCAGAGAAAACTCAAGTTAGGAAACTAGAACCTGAGGCGCTGTGTGTTTTGCAGACATAGTTCACATTGCCTCTTCCTGAAGCCTCAAAGAGCTTCATATATGAAACTAGCTCTCGTCCATCAATCCTGTCGAGTAAGAATGGGGAATTAACCTTCCAACTAAGGTCACACGGGCACCTGTGGCCACTGAGAGACACTATGCCGTGCACACTGATCTTCCTGGGCGCAAGTCCTGCAGCCTGTTAACCAGATCTGCTGCATGGATTTAAATTAACAGTATCACCTTTTTCCTTCGGCCACCACCTGAGGGTGATGAGCCATTTCAGCACTGGGTGACGGCGACCCAGGTGTGTCTGTGAGGCCTGGACCTCATACTATTGGTAAATTCCTGCTAGCTAAGTCCAGAGAGGCCCTGCCCAGAAACACTGCCCTCTGGCTTCTCACCCTGTAGCTCACCTTCCCCCAAGAGCCTGCTAAAGGCTCCTGGGAAACCATCACCTGCTTGCTGTAGTTAGCAAAGTCTGGCTCCTGCCACACTAGCTCACACGGGGCCGTGTGCTGGGCCCTGATGAATGACACAGTGTCTGCAGACTAACGTGTCCCTTCAGCAGGAACAGCTGCCAGCCAGCCCCGGGATGGGTGTGGGCAGACACAGCTGAAGTCTCTGGTTTAATGCTTAAAACATCATTATGAAGAACCCTGCTAAAATAAATTCACCCACTATAAATTCATCCACTGAGTGGTGACCAGACACAGCTGGAGAGAAAAATGCAGTGGGGCCAGGCTGACTGAAGACAAATTCAGTCCCTGGTTCGTGCCACTAGATGTCCCCTGAGGTACCCGGCACATTCCAGAGCAAAACACGGGAGCTCTCTGCCCACACACAGCTTACAAAGAGGGAAGAGAAGCGTTGCTGGTCTGTTTCAGATAAAACCAATGCATCTTACCCAAGGAGGCCTCACAAATCCTGTAATGCAGAATTGGGATTACAGTACTCATCAAATAAAAGCAGTTTGATTGATAAAGAAGGGTAGATAGTGTCTGAGGACCTCACAGCATTTTATGACAATAGAATGATTTCAGAAAGCCTCAAACCAGCAGACACCAGTTAGCAATAGATGGCACACTAGCTGAGTGGGTGCTAAGGAAATCAAGGAATGCTCCTGGCTGGGTACGTCAGTGTCACCTTCATGTCCCAATGTCTCCATCAGGGCATCCCTCCACAGGCAGAGGCAGGGTTGTGTTACCACCACATGTGCACATTCCCGCTCCTGTGGGTGAGTGTGTGACAAGGGCAGTGTTACACTCCGAAAGTCCCTGGGTGGACGGTGCCTTCCTCACATCTGCAGGTATAACCAAGAGCTGTAAAATCACGTGGAACAATCAGTAATTTGGTATTGGAACCAAAAGCGGAAAAATGGCTGAGTTTAAGTAAAACTCTGCAGGCAGAACTCCAACTGAAGAATCAGTTTAGCTTTTCCACCGCCGGATGCTTTGCCCTTAGTGCTGTGACAGGCTCATTGATTTTTTTTTTAATCAGAAAAAACAGAGGCTTTGATTCTAATCCATCCCTGTAAAAGACATTCTAAGGGAAAATATTCTAAAGAAGAGGGAGGTTGGCAGGTGGCCTGGTCCCTAGTGTGAGCCCCATCTCCCGCCCCGTCCTGCCATCCGGTGGATAACAAGGTCCAGCTGGGTTTGGGTGGCCCCTAGTAGTGTGGTTTCCTTCTGCTCTCACTCCCGGGGTGGACCAGTGGGTCACAGTGTCCTCTCCGCAGTGGCATCTGTCCCAGAAGGCACCCTGTGGTCAACCCAGAGCCTGAGTCTCTAGGGTTCCCAGGCTCCACTGTCCCTTCTCAAAGCCACCAGCCCTGTCCTGTGACAGTGGCTTGCCTAGGATCGCCCATATGTCTGTCTGTGCATCCCCATCCCTGAGACCTGGGCTGTTCTTGATTTTGCCAGCACCAAGTTAGAAATAATCTACACGTCCTGCATTCAGGAGATGAGGAAATCATGATGTACCAAAGTCGGGGGAAGTCGAGGCAGCTTTGTTTATTTCTTTGTTTGGTGAACTCAAATCCAGAGCTTCATAAATGCTAGCACTCTACCACTGAGCTATACCCCCAGCCCTTTTTAATTTTTTGTGACAGGGTCTCACTCACTTGCCCAGGTGGCCTTGAACTTGGCTCCGGAGTACCTGGGATTACACACATGCACCACGGTCCCCAGCAAGGCAGCTTTCATTTTAAAACATCAAGAAAAATGCAGAACGTGGCAGATTTTGTATATGAAGATTACAGCTATTTAAAAATACGATGTAGTGAGGCATGGCAGCACACCCCTGTAATCCCAGTGCTCTGAGGCTAACGCAGGAGGATTACCAGCCAGGGCTACGTGCTGAGTTCAGTATGTAGCCTGAACTACACAGTGAGATCCTGTCTCAAAAAACCATAAATAAATAAATAAATAAATAAATAAATAAGACTGTAGGAAGGAAGAAATGAAGCATTATTGTTTAATGGGTAAAGAGAGTTTCAGGTCTGCAAATTTAAAAATATTTTCAAGACCTATTGCACAATAAGGTGAGTGATCTGGTTAAGAAAATGGTAATTTTATAGTAAGTTTTTACTACTGTGTTTCCAAACTGCAGTTGTACTTGGGCAGAGCCCTGCTCATCCAAGTGAAAATACCTTCCACAGTGGTGATGTAACATTTTGGGAAAATACTTAATGGACTTTAATTTTAAGGTTTCTTTAGCATATTACTTGCCGGGTATCTTTTAATATCACCTCGATCCACGTCCCCCACGTTTGTCACCGATCTGAAGTCCCAGTGTCCTTGCTGCCTGCCCGCTGTTGGGATGTTAGAGCCATGCTGGTCCCTCCCTGGGGTGCGGAGCTGCTCTGCATGTGTCCTCAGACAGTGCAGCAGGGCTGCTGGCTGGCTCTGCGTCAGTGCTTGAGATGTGATCTATGAGGGCCAGGAGATTTTAATTCATCTGGGCATCACATGAGGCAGATCCCACTTCCCCTCTGCTGACTTTAATCCCTCACTAGTATATAGTCTCCTCATTTTGCAAAGACGAGGAGCTGGAAGATGGATCTTTCTCTGAGCAGCATCCAGCACAGCAAGGGTCGGCTCAGCTTTTCTTTGCCCAGTTGCTCTGCACAGAATTGTAAATACCTGTTTGTTTGGACTCTTTTCTTAGTGATTATAACATCTTTTTTTTTTATTATAACATCTTTTAAAATTGTTTTTTCACTAGTGAGGATTGAACCCAGGGCCTTTGCACTGAGCTACATTCCTATTTTTATTTTTTGAGACAAGGTCTCACTAAGCAGCTAAATTTTACATGTAAGCTTGAATTTGGGGTCCTCCTGCCTCAGCCTCCCAGAGTTCGGGGAATATAGGTGTGTGCCACTACACCTAAAAATTTTGGGGGGGAATATGGGGTGGTATCAGGAGTCAAACTCATGACCTCGCACTTGCCAGGCAGGCACTTATGCCACTGAGCTGTGTGGCATAGAGCCATGTGGTCTCTGTCACAGGGTCCTTTCTGTCTCAAGCAGTCTCCCCAACACCTCTGAGGTCTTTCGGGTACTTATGCCTGGCCCCTCTAAAATTATTTTTAACAGTTCAAAACAAATGGCTGTGAAATCATTCAGAATACTATTTTGTTATTACTTACTATGGTTAGGCGTGGTGAAGACACCATCAGAGAACTTTATTTTGGTAATAGACAGGTAGATGGTAGTGAAAGCACACTGGCTTTGGGGGTGCTCCCCTCTTGTCCTTGGTGACCTCAGTGGCAGCATTGCTTTTTGAGAGCTTCCTGCCTCCCAGAGGTATCGCAGTCCTTTCTGTCATTTTTGAAACCTGCCTCCCTACCAACAAGGGTTCCCTTTCGGTCACACAAAGCCATCCCTCCTCTGACAGGGCCTCTTACAGGGCTCGTTTCTGCAGCCACCACATCAGGTGGCCTGGGGAGCAGCTCCTGCCGTCCCTTCTCTCGTGGAGAACACAGAAGCAAGTCGAGCACTTGGCCCCGGTGCCCATCTTGTGATTTGCATCTCAGATGTAAAATTTGTTTCTCCCACCTGACCTGCCAGCTCTCACCCAGTTGTTCTTTGCATGTTTTCCCCTGGGCTGTTTGGGTGCCTTGGGTCTCTGCCTTCTTACCATGTAGCTCTGTTGTGCCTCTCCTGAAAGGTGACCTTATTCTGACCATGGGACCACCTGGACTCTGTCACAGGGTCCTTTCTGTCTCAAGCAGCCTCCCCGACACCTCTGAGGTCTTTCACATTCTCCTTATGTCCCACCCACAGGCATTTAGCCCCTGCGGCTCCAGTGTCCTTTGTCCCCTCCCCTCTGCAGAGCTCCCCTCTCCCTCCCCAACTCACCGCTGTTCTCCTGTGCCCATCACACGCGAAGTCTGTCTGTCACGATACCTTGTGCCATCACAGCTGCTTCCCAGTACTCTCCCTGACTGCCATCATCTACCCCTTCTTAGTCAGACCCCTGAGTCCCAGGCAGATGCCACCATCCCCTGAGGTACAGGGCATGCCAAGCCCAGGGTCATCTATCTTCTGACCTTTTCCACAAGAAGGAAGGCCAGGCTCGAGACCACGGTCACCTTGGCCTGCTGGCCAGCTCTCCCTCACCACGCCCACCCTGCCAGCAGGATCCTAGCTAGGTAAATGATGATGACCCAGTAGAGAACACAGCACCAGCCAAAATCTGGGGGTTCCAGGCAGGATCTGCTAGAGTAACACCAAAGGAGAGTCTGAGTCCAGTTTATTGAGCTGGATCTTTCATGGATAGGGCAGAGGGGCTTAGTGGGACCTGCTTAGGTGAGGTGAGGCAAAGGGACACATGAGACTGGGGGGGCAAGAATGGCTGAGAATCAGACTGTCACCCCAGACATGGAGGTCTGTAGACAAGGCTGGCTGTGGTGTGGAATAAACGATGCACTTACCTCCCCGTGCCACCACAGGAAGGTCGAGGCTGACCCTTGTGGCAGGTACAGCCCAGTGGCAGAAAGACACCCCAGCACCCTGCCAGCCACTGCTCCTGTGTCCCTGCCCCTTCAGTGTCCTCAGGAGAATGGACAGGAAGGCTGATTTGAAGGAGGTTAAATTCTGTGCTTTTCCTTTGCCTCTGTCAGCAGCCGCAATTCTCTTTACGTTTCCCTGCGCCAGCAGCCTCGTGGAGGAAGGGTTGGAGTACGAGCAGCAGCAGCCTGCGGCTGGCTCTGTGACCAGGAGAGGCCAGGCGGGCGGAGCGGGTCAGCTGGGCGGTGAGGAGGAGGTTTCTGTAGTCAGAGCCCCGGTGGCAGTGCCATCGGGGTGGGGCCAGGGAGCAGAGAGCCGTGCTGTCCCCACAGGCCCTTGGGGAGCCTCCACGCCAACCCTCTCCCCTCACCGTGGTTCTTCCAGAGCCCAGGAGACCTTCATGCAGTGGGACCAGTGCCGGCGCTTCTACAACTTCCTCATGGCCGACAACATGAAGAAGATCATCCTCTCACACAGGTACGGCCCTCCCGTCCCTCGCAGGGGACACAGGCTCACAGTCACCACGAGCCAGAACTCCTACTCTCATAGCAAAAGGACGGGTAGCTCAGACACTGCTGACCCCACTGGTGACTTGGTCAGGAGCAAATTTGTCCTAAGCTACCAGTGGCCCTGTCACCCTCTGCATTGGTAATTCCCAGTGAGCCCAGACAGGAGACCTCCTTCACCCCATGAGTGACTGAGGTGGCCTGTCCTTGTCAAGGTGACCCCCCTCCCAGCGTGCTCTGTGCAGGGCATCAGGATGGCCTTGGCTGGCCCTTGGGGTTCTGACAGGGGCCCCAGAGCAGAGCACCAGCACCCACCTGCCAGAGCCTTGAGCCACCGCTCATTGGCCACCCTGTCCTGCCTGTCCTGCCCTCCGCCCTCCACAGACCCGCCTGTCAGTCTCAGAACAGGACGCAACTGTCAGCGCTGGTTTCCATCACAGTGCCTTTGCTGCCACTGCCCTCCCTGCCCCTCCCACCGGCCCGGGTCACGGGGCAGCTCCTGCACCCAGCCTCTACCCACCGCTCTGTGCCCTTCCCTGCAGCTCTGCTCACAGCCCAGCCCTTTCTTATTTGTTATACGTGCGTGCGTGCACGCGTGGTCCACAGGACTGAGCCCAGACTGTCACACTGAGCTATGTCGCCAGCCCTTCTTAGTTCTTAGTGTCAGCCAGGGCTTTGCAGAGTCACAGAGTTGCCCAGGCTGGGCTCAAACTGCCTCACTCTCAGTCCATTCTGTGTTGTGTTTCTTTGTTTTGTTTTGGTTTAGTTTTTTTTCAATTTTTATTTTCATTAGTACATGCTTACAGTCCATACTGATTATATTCCTCATGGGCATTGGTACATGTATATAACACATTTTAACTGCTTTTACATCCTCTCTCCTCCATTCCCCCTCCTTCTGTTGGTCCTCTTCCCTTTTCCAAAAGATCTATCTCCTTATTTCATCTGTTCTCCTTATTTCATTCATATTCTTTTATTTTGTTTTTAATTTATATTTTGGGTTCTTAAATAAGAGAAACTATGTGATATTTAAGCTTATATGTCTGATTTAGTTCACTTAACATTATGGTCTCAAGGTGGATCCATTTTCCTACCAATGACTCAACTTTATCCTTGTTTATGGCAGACCAGTACTCCATTTTGTATAAACATCACATTTTCTTTTTCTTTTAAAGATAATAAAATTGAACAAAACAAAACAGAATAAAGCCAATCAAAACAAAGCAGCAAAATTGGTAGAGAACTTCAAAGCAGGATACTAGGAAAACAATAGCTACCATAGTGTATCTTGTTACCTTCACAATAGTTGTCCATTCTGTCATGTATAGCAAAATCAAATCAAACCAAAACAGAATAAAACCAATCAAAACAGAATATTGAATAAAGCAAAACAATTAATCAGAACAAAACAATGACAACAATATTGAACTTCCAAGGCAGAAGGAGATCCCCCATGTTTGCTATATTGCATACTGTCATCCTCCCAAGAAATGCTCAGACCGAGGGCCCCAGGCCTTCAGAATCAACCAAACAATAAGCATGTAGCTCTTTTTGTACTTTGGTTGCTTGCGAGGTGGGAGTGGGGGGTTGTGGGTGATTCTCAGCCTGCACACCAGTAGGCTCATGGGAGGCTCTGCCTTTTCTCTTCTGGACCCCACGTGGCTTGCATGGCTCCTTGCTCAGCCCCTCCCAGTCCCAGCATCAACATCACATTTTTTTAATCCACTGATCTGTTCATAGACATACAGGCCCCTTCCGAGGTAGAGCTGTTTTATATTGTGCTGCTATAGAGGCAAGCTACAGAATGAGAAAAATGTTTGCCAGCTGTTCCTCAGACAGGACTAATATGTAGAATGTATAAAGAACTGAAAAAAATTAGGCCCCAGCTCCAAATAAAAGACCCAATCTGAACTGGGCGTGGTGGTGCACACCTGTAATCCCAGCACAAGGAGTCTGAGGCACAAGGATCACCACAAGTTCAAGGCCAGCCTGGGCTAAATAGTGAATTCAAGTCCAACCTGTACTACATAGCGAGACCCTGTTTCAACAAACAAACACAAAAAACCTGGGCAACTGAAACGCGCAACCACTTGTTAAGGCGCCTCTTGGATCTGCGTTACCAGCACCAGGCTGCTTTTCTGTGGCTTCCTCCGTGTGACTCGCACGTCTTGGGAATTCTTGCAGGGTCTGGACGTGTTTTGGTTTCTCTCTTTAGAGTGTGGCACGTTGGAGCATTCATACAATACACTCCCTTAGGAAAAAAAGTCTGCCTAAATCATTTTACTTTTCTTTCTTTCTTTTTTTTTAATTGAGCCTGGCCTTCATCTCCTGGGCTCAAAAGCCATCTCCTACTCCCCAGTAGCTGGGATGCCACCACACTTGACTCTTAGTCTCTTTGTTTCGATGATTCAGAGAACGTGTGGTACTGCCCAGCCCAGCATGCACCCGAGCTGAGGCTTCCTGTGGGTTGGGGCACGGGCACCTTCTCCGGCTGCCAGGCATGTCCGTGGGTCATGATGTGGATGAAGAACAGAGGGAGACGTGTCCCCTGGGCTCTGACAATCGGCTGTCCCCTTGGCTCACGTGGTTTGAGCTGGATTGTGCTGGGCAGAGTTGGGCTTGGCTCAGCTGAGGTTGGCATGGGCCAAGGGGTCTGTGGAGGTCATGGAGCCAGAATGGGAGAACCTGGGCCATGGATACTGAATCCAAGCCCTCTGTCTGCAGCTCCAGAATAGACTGACTCCTCTCAAAGATGAGTATTGTCCTAAAGACCCAGTCTTGCTGCTAAATGGTCCCAAAAGCCGGATGTAGTGACACAAGCCCGTAATCCCAGCATTTGAGAGTCTGGGCCGGGAAGATTGTTGTGAGTTCAGGCCAGCTGGTGCTACAAAGTAAGTTTAAGGCCAGTCTGAACTCCATAGTGAAAAAAAAAATGGTCCAGAAGATTCATCATTCTTAACAAAGAAAGTGTACCACGAGTATATTTAGCTTTTTTTTTCTTTTCAAATTTCTTACAGAAAACCAAACACTCAGAAATGTTCAGGAAACTTATTATAAAATCTGTCCCATAGATAAATAAAAGATAGATAGATCAGACAGACAGTCATGGGGAAAAGCAAGTGGGAAAAACCACATATCCCTCTAGTCTTGGAGAGCTTGTGAATGGATCCCAGAACACTGAGTCTCCACAGTGATCTTTCCCGCCCAGGAGCCACACCTGGCTCAGCCCTGTGCCCAAGGCTGCACACTGGTAGCACGGTGTGCAGTGCCCCCTTCAGCCTGACTGTCATCCTGTTGGGATGGATCGTCCTCTGCAGGACAGGACCACATCCTGGGTTCATCTGGCCTCTGTACCGTGGCTTCAGCATACACAGGTTTTGTCCTGAACATACAGAGATTTTTTTTCCTGTTAATCCAGCATAGCAGAGACAATTTCAAGTACACAGGAGGATGGCATGGGTCATATACAGATTCTAAAGCCAGCCACAGTGGCCTGGGTACCTGTAATCCTTACTATTCGGGACACTGAGGCAGGAGCATCTCTTGAGCCAAGGAGTTAGAGGCCAATCTGGGCAACATAGCAGTACCTCATCTCTTTAAATAGAAAGAACAAACCCTATACCATTTTATAAAAGGGACTAGAGCATCCATGGATTTCAGGGTATGAGAGAGGTCCCTTTTAGTTAACACTTTGGAGAGCCATTTCCCAAATGTTAACAGGTTAGACACTGTCTTCCTCCTTGAGTAACAACAACTCATAAAGGGAAAGGAGGTAGGGGGTTTACTGGGGAGAGGGGGTGTGCCTCAGTACCAGTATAAAGATGATCTCCCAGTGGCCCACTGCCCACCATGGAGCTCCTGCTGAGGCCCCCTCCCCTGTGTAACATTCAGCCAGCTTTGAGCCCAGCCTTTAGTTTGTCTGCATGTCCCTGGGAAGGAAAGTGAGATCTGGGGTCCATCTTGCTGCAGTCCCCAGGACACCAGACATTGTCCTACAGGCTGCAGGGCTCTGTTTTCAGCCACCACAGGCTGGGTCCTGCTGGAGAGAGCCCTCTCCTGGCTTGCCACTGGTCCAGGCCCTTCTGCCTTGGCTTCCCTTCTGCCTGTGACTGAGTCACTTTTTACTTCTGTGTCTTGCACTAGGCAAGCTCTCTTTGGAGACCACGTTAAGAAGCCCCAGAGCTTGGAGGATACAGATTTGAGTCGACTCTACACGGCAACGTCCCTGACACAGATCGACGACAACGTGATGAGGTGGGTCCCCACAGGTAGTGGGTCAGCTCTGCCTGGCACCACTGGCCTGCTCAGCTGACCTTAGTGACAGGGCTTTTTCTTCTGTCCCCCTCTGAATAAGTGTCCAAGGTAGAACTGACCTCTGACTCCACCATTCTCATTAAAAAGGCCACTCTGTTCACTGAACAAACATCTGATATCTTTCTTTTCCCCATGCTAGGCAGTGAACCCAGAGCCTTTGCATTGAGCTACATCTCCAGCCCTTTTTAAAATCTTATTACTTTGAGACAAGTTATTGCTTACTAAGGTACCCAGGCTGGGCTTGCGGTCCTCCTGTCTCAGCCCCCAGAGTCCTGGGATTACAAAGGAATTACAGTGTTTGCCTACTCTGCATCAGGTGACAAACATGACCATGGCCATCTTTTTTGCATGAACATGAATGCGACCATTTTCCCCACAGTTGTGGAACAAATTAAGTTCATGAACCAAGGTGCCACTGTATCCATTCAGGATACAGCCAGACAGTGATCTGACAGTGATTCTTCCTTATGATATTGTAGTAACCTCACACCCAATAACCTTGCCTGTTAACAGTTTCTCAGGAAAAATAAAACTGGGAAATTAGGGGGCTAGGAATTTAACTCAGTGGCATAAATGCCTGTCTGGCAAGCACAAGGTCATGAGTTCAATCCCCAGTACCAAAAAAAAAAAAAAAAGAACCGGAAAATTGCTGATGTATTGAGAAGAAAAGAGTGAATCATACCCACCACCCACACTTTAGATGGGTTGTATAAATTATTAATGGACGTGAAAAATCTAATAACAGTTATAATGGGAGACCTCAATACCCCACTGTCACAAATAGATAAATTAGACAAACCAACAATGAAATATTAGAACTGAATCAAACTTTTGAACAAATGAACTTAGTAGATATCTAGAGTATGTCTAATTTTTAAAAAGTCACTTAAATTTCCCAATTCACCTGATTTTGTTAAGCCCAAGGAGAGTGCACTCAGCTTCCCATAGAGTCCTTCCTCTTTAATGGAGTTCACTTGTAGCAGCTTTGTGCTAAAACCTGTTCTGGCAGCCCCCTCACCCTGGAGAATGGGGACACTTTCCCAAGACTGCAAGGGGGTCGGCTTCACAGGACAGAGGTCACAGAAGGGATTTCTGCATGCAGCCTGCTTCCTATCAAAGGGCACCTAAGAGTCTGGCCTCAGCTTTGCAGGTCATTCCCAGGCGAGCTGTGTATGGAGACAGAGGTGTAAGAAATGCACCCCTTCAGGGGAGGTGGCATGTGTTGGGACCTGGTGTCAAAACAGAGAAGATCCACCACTCTGGGCCAAGCCCCTCCCCGGTGCCAGGAAGAAAGGAGGCTTTCAGAGATGCTCCAGCTGGGTTGCCTCCGGCTACCTGGCACTGGAGCTCCAGGTTGAGCCTCACCTGCACCAGAGCACAGCACAGAGCAAGGCTGTGGGGCTTACAAGCAGGTGCGTAGGAGCCATGAGAGAATGCCATGGGGCCTTGGTTACCACCCGTGGGTGCACAGAGCAGAAACTGTGAGCCCTGTCCCATCTCTGTGTCCCAGCACATATTTCATTCCAGTTCACGGTGGCCCAGTGAGTGTCTCCAACAAGAATAATTTTTGTCTGAATTTCAGTTTCTTTATGGTCATATGTAGTGTTCACTGGTTCAAATGATGCAACATCACAGGTCATTACAAAGAACACACTGAGTGACTGTCGGGGCCAGTCATTGTGCCAATAAGCACCTCTGGATCATAAATCTCAGAGCACCTCCCCGGGTAGTCCCATCTCTAGGCCCAGTGTTCCTCTAGAGGGACAGCTGAGGTGAGGATGAATTAAGCCACTTAGCTAAGGTCACGAAGCCAGTAAGAGGCAGAGCTAGGATTTGAACCCAGGTGCCAAAGCCAGTGCTCTTGGCACCAAATACTGCCACCTCCTTAGAGCCTGTGTCAGTACAGAACCTGGGCCAGCAGAACGATCAGCTCGGCATTCAGACCCAGCCTGGCTGCTGGCATGCCTGTACCTGGTGCAGTGAGTTCAGTTGCGATCTTACAACTAACGCTGTTCTGTTCCTTCTCTCCTGCACCCCGTGTGTTCCAGGAAGTTCCATGGCTATAACTCCCTGCAGGAGTACTATGAGGAAGAGAGCTGCATGAGGTACCTGCACAGGGTGAGTGGCAGTACTGGCTCAGAACTCGTGTAGCTTCACCCACATCCAGCAAAAACCTAGTTCTCCGGAGTCCCTCGGTGGGAGCTGCACCAGTCTAGCTGGCTTTGGACTTTTTAATGAACCAGGTCTGTGACCACTATACACTCCCCGCAGAGCTGCCCGGGAGGCCAGGCCACTTCCTGGGCTATATGAAAGCTCTTAACATTGCTGCAACTCTCAGTGCTTTCTTAGGCCTCCTTTAACAGTGTAATCCCTCCCTGTTTCTGCCATGGCTCATGGGAGAGCCATCTCAGTCTCCCGCCATCCTGGACTGTTGTGTAGTTCATAGTGCCTAGAACTGAACTCCAGATTCCGGCCAGGACCTGGTGAGCATGGAGTAAATGAGGTGCTCTGTGTCACAGAGATGAGGAGCGTGTGTGTGGGCTCATTTGCATCCATGCAGTTTTTAGCAGCTATAGTAATAAACGGTGTGTATTATTTGTGGTGAACCAAACTCTATATACTTTTTTACCTGAACCATCACCAAGCTGGTCTCTGCTTCTGTCTCTGCACAACTCTTCCTGTTATGCACACACAGACATTCCCATTTATCCCGGCCACTGTCCACCTGTCAGGTTGGCCCACCATTCCCCCAGCTCAAGCAAATCTGTGACTGTAGTCCTGCCTCTGGCTTAGCAGTCAGCTCTTCTCATCAGCATCAGATCCAGGCTTTGGGCAGTTTAACCACTGACAGTGCTGAGCTGCACAGGGCTAACATCAGAGCCGCAAGAGAGCAGAGCCGTTTCCTGCCCCAGGGTGACTGTTCAGCACCAGCTGAGTCCCGCTTCCACACAAGTGCCAAAGGAGACTGCGGGCTATGTTGCTAAAACAGCCATGAGTGCCACCCTGCCCAGAGTCCCCCAGCATCCCCCACCTTGCCCAGGTCCCCCAGCATCCCCAACGCTTCTCCTGGATCCAGGCTTCAGATTCTTCAAGGAAGTCTCTGTCTGGAGTGGGGTTCACTTTATTTTTCCTCCCCCTGCTATTAATGGAACGGATATGTACATACCTCTTGGTGAAGTCTTTCACCTGAAAGGCTAATATGGAAAGCTGTGACAAGGATCTGAAATATTTTGACAGTGAATACGTATGAGCACTTCCCTCTCTGTCAGAGCACATGGGTCCCCTGCGGCTCCTGGACACCCCTGTTGCCCAGCAGGGATCTCAGAGGCACTTACAACCCATCCACTGCCTCTGAAGACCAGGTGCCCATCACCCACCATTTAGCAAGCCGAGCGGTTACCCACCTTCCCTTTGCTTTAGAGACACATCTGGTAGTGAGTGAGCCCGGAGTCAGTCGCCGGAAAGGAAAGGGAGTCCGTCACTAATGTCTGCTTTATTTTCTCACTGCAGATTTATGTACCCCTCATGTTGGTGAATGCAGCTGATGACCCCTTGGTGCATGAAAGTCTTCTAACCATTCCGAAATCTCTTTCAGGTAAGTGTTGTCTCCTCCTGCTCTCCAATCACTCAACAAATTGCGCTAGTAATTGTCACCGTCTGTCACCTTCCCTGAGCTGGCGTCTCTGGAGACCAGCCTCTTGTGGGAGGAACAGCTTGTGGCAGTATTCTTACTCTGCCTTATCTGATGTCCTGGGGCTGTGAAGGCGCTGGGCAGAGCCTTCTGAGGTTCTGTCCTCCTACAGAGACAGGACCATCCCTGATGTCCATCACCAAGAGGGCTTTTTATGGGGTTCTGCAGAATTACTGAATCAGGATTATAGTTCCATTAAGTGGGAGGGTTTGACTTAAAGAGATATTTAAATTAAAAATTTGACCTGCAAAACAAAACACAAACAGTTTTGCTACCTCCGATGACAGCTTTTCCATCTGCTTTGAGGATAAAAATATAAGCAGCAGCTCCTTCTGTACTGGGTAAGGATCTAAGAGGAAAGGGAGGGGTAAGGTTTGTAGGAGGACATTTTGGGGCATCCAGAGTTACTTTGCATGGCCATCTCAGATCCCCAGAGCTTCATGTCCCTGCACACTCCACAGTCCTCTGTGATTGCTTTCTTGTAAATACTGTAGCATCCCCAGCAGGAGGTTAGCCTCGTTCTCCCGTGACCCTGAGCTAGGCAGGGGTGATGCAGCCAACAGAGGGCCCACAGCCTGCTCGGGACTAAGGCTGTGTGTGTGAGAGGCATGTCACATGGTCGGACCTGTCTCCATGCCCTCTCCAGCCACAGGCTACATGTGCAGTAGGGAAAGAAAGTGTGCACCAACGCTCATCACCCTCTGAACCCCGAAGTACTGTTCACAGTGCTAATACTGTCACATGAGTTTCTAATTTTTTTGGTACTGGGAAGTGAACTCATGACCTTGTGCTTGCCAGACTGGCACTGTGCCGCTGAGCTGTATCCCCAGCCCTCATATGAGTTTCTAAAACAGAAGCCAAAAAGGGGCCCCTGTAGCTAGTCTCTGGGAAGACAGATCCTTCCTATCCACCCTGGCCATCCCCTGTGCACGTCAGTGGTGGCTTGTCCCAGCCCGTGTGGGGCCAGCGTAACCAGTGACTCATAAAGCAAGCTCCAGGTTAACTCTGAGGATGGCCAGCTAGTGGGCGATGGTGAGAGACCTCATGTCCTTTGACACAGCTTCCAGCTTTAAGTTAACCCTAGTCTTAAGTGCCTGGAATGAAAAACCATTGGTGCCGCTGAACTCTCCTTGTTCTCTAGTAAATAACACTGCATGCTGTGAACTCCCCTGAGCCTGCACACCCTCAGGTTACTTGATCAGAACCGAATTTTAACAAGGTACCCCAGGGGATCCAGATGCACGAAGTTGGGGAGGATAAGGGGTCACCTGGGAGCTGCAGCAGTCCCGATGCCTGGGCTCCCCTCCTCAGCTCCTCCCCATCCTTCTCCCGAGAGGCTCGCTCGCTCACAGTCTGAGTGCACTTAGAGGTGCAAGGACTCCTGAAGCAGGAGCCCAGTCCACACCAACAAAGGCTGTTCCCGTGGCGGTGAACAAAGCAGCGGAGGCAGAGGTTGAGTGACTTTCCGCTGTGAGTAAAGTGGCCGAGCAGCTCCCCTCGCCCCCCTTACCTCATCCTCAGCACGGAGTAGTAACCCGCTGCCTTTGCCCTGCAGAGAAACGGGAGAATGTCATGTTCGTGCTGCCCCTGCACGGGGGCCACCTGGGCTTCTTTGAAGGCTCTGTGCTGTTCCCCGAGCCCCTGACGTGGATGGATAAGCTGGTGGTGGAGTACGCCAATGCCATTTGCCATTGGGAACGAAACAAGTCGCAGTGCTCTGACACAGAGCAGGTGGAGGCCGAGCTGGAGTGAGGCCTCGGGACTCTGGCGCTCTCCAGCAGCCCTCCCCTGGGCCCCGCGTTCCCTCGATGGCTGCTTCAGGTCTCCCATCTCCCTCAGTGACCTGGATCTGACCTCACACCCTCAGCGGGGGCGTCCATCATGCACACCTGTCTCCAGTAGGCGCTCTCCCCTGGGAGCTCCAGGCTATTTTTGTGCTTAGTTACTGGTTTCCTCCATTGCATTGTTAGCCATGGTGACAAGCAACAGGGTTCTCACCCTTGTCGGGTTTCAGCGTTTGACTGCTTTTAAGCCAAGTACATCTAGTTTCCTTATGTAAAGTGTGTCTGAACAGCAATTTTGCTTTGCCAATCAAAAGGCTCTTCCTGAGAACAGCGAAAGACGTGTGTTACTTCGTGCTGGCTGGCTGTACCCTTCTGAAGGGTTCCCTTTCCTAGGCCAGTGCTGAAGACACAGCTGAGCTTGGGAATCCTAGGGCCTGGGGCTTCCAGGCTGAAACAAACGTGGCCTCTTAAATGGCCAAGGAATTCCCCTGAGTCCCAAGCCAAGTTTTCTCCCTCCCTCCCTCCCTCCCAAGCAATTTCCCCACACCTGGCTGCTGCTGAGATTTGCATGGGGCACTTGTTAAAAGTTCAGCCTCCCAGGCCCCTCCCCTTGCACAAGGTCTGGGAAGGGGTCTGGGGATTTTAATTTTTGACAAATGCCCCAGGGGATTCTCATCATCAGGCAAACTTGGGAAACACCTTTCTGGGCACCTTTCGGTCAGACCATCTTGGTGGCTTGTTTTACTGTAACTTGTAGTCATTGGTGTCACTTCACCCCCAGGGGCCTTCAGTACAGCAAGGCATGTTGTGTAACTGCTCTGTGCGATCACAATGCAATGTCCCTGTCCCCACAAAGGTCCTGAGTAGGAGTGGGAATTTGGGCCGAGCCCTGGCTCTCCTTCTCACTGGGTATATGACTCTGTAGGAGTCCCTTTGGACTTGAGTCTCTTCACCTATGACATGGGGGCCTTGGACCAGGTCCATTGACGACATGACCACCGATGCTGAAGTTCAATGACAAACTCAGTTTACTGAGATTTGAGAGAACATCCCTCCTGGGACTGTGCAGATATCATCATTTGCCTTTTTTGTTCCCTGTCCCTCATTTCATATAAAGAGATTTTAGGGATCTTTTTAAGCACTTAATTGTAATTTTAGTTTTTAACCCTGGTCCCTGTAACTCTGGTTTTTGATACCATGCAATTCAAAAGTTGGATCTGAGTTTGAAGAAAGATATTTCCAACCAAAGGTGTTACTTGAAACTAGATTTTGAAGGGAATAGTCTCCAATTGTTATCTGTTGGATGGATCTTTCTGAAATGTCTTCTCAAGTGACAATGTCACTGTAGGTTTCAAGTACTCTTCTCCAATCCTGTGGTACTTGAATATCTAAGAACCCTGCACTTCGAAAAATCATCAGTTGCTCTCTGGAAGCAAACAGAGCGATGAGTGAAGTCAGCTGGCAACTTTACAAAGCTATTTTCTCACTTTCATCTCCTCTCACCGCAGGACAGACTAGAAAATAATTTTTGGGTCCCTGGGCAGGGGGCATTTGAGCACCTAAATGCCAGCCCGCGGGGCTGTACTGGACAGAGTTTGGGTACCGGCCCAAGTGACTGTGACAGTAATGTCTGTAACCTGAAGAAACTATTTCCTGACAATCACCAGATCACCCTAATAACATCAGAAACAGCCATTCTCTCAAAAGACTGAGATTTCTGTGGTTTCAACTTTGCTTTGGTATAATTTCTCACAGCATCAAATTATAGAATCTGGCTTTCCCCCCAAAACTGTTGTTTCTTCCGTGCATTTTCGTTTCATGTTCTTTTTGCACAAATTGGCACTTTATCCTTTGCCCCTCAATTTGGAAGCTAGTCTTTCTCCTCTGTTACTTAGCTCCTACCACCCAATCACAACTACAGTCTGGAAGATTCCTAGCCATGGTTCCTGCACTGGCCTTCATCTCTAGAAGGGATTTTCACTTTTTGTGAAAATAGGTAAACCAAGCAATAACTTGAAACAGTTGAGTCACCGTCCCCAGAAATGAGGGGCTCCTTTTGTTTGCCCGAGACCGCATAGACAAGAGTGGTGGCCCAGTGCCAATCACCTCAGGAGAAAAGACAGTGGTCTCACACACAGAGGGACTGGAGGTATCCTCGGAGCTTGGGGCACAGATTTGCTATCAGAATTCGGGGGCTGATAGAGGGCCGGAGCAGCTGAAGACTCTAGTGTGCAACCTGAATGGCGCTTACATTCCATTTTGGTTCACATGACATCAGCTGAAGCCCTTCATTCAGGCTGCAGGCTCTCAGGCAGGAAATGAGCACGGGACCGTGGCTGTCTCACAGGAGAATCCTTGTTTGTGCCTGAATGAGCACAGAGGGACTGAACATGAAGATGCAAAGTCGCTCAGTCAACAAGGGACTGGCCCTTTCTATGTAGGTCATCTTTCCCCTTCCTCTGGGCTTCTGCACTCTTCTCCCCAAAGCCATTCACTGCTCCTGAGAATGCAAATATTCTCCTTGCTGGGAAGGTCTTATTTAGGCTAAAACAAGACTGAGTCTTTGAAGAGTGTTGAAATCTCCTATTTTAAAATCGTATTTGGCAGCAATAACTTGTCAAAAACTGAGGGGCAGAAGCACCCACTTTTTCCTTGCCCCCCAAACAATTGGAAGACACTGATCCTAGTCATTCTCTGACTTGAACAGCATCCAGCCTCTTTGATGTATTCATACGAGAAGGGAGTTTAACGGAGTAGAAGACGACCTCTTTCCTGCAGCAAGTTGTACCAATGATTCCAGAGCAGAGCGAGGAGAGAAAGTTGTATTTTGTTGTCATATTCCTTAATCTCTCTGTAGGGAATCTTAGGCTCTACCACAAGGGGATCTACCTTCCAAGGGGAGCATTCCCGACATGGTGTTATATAGAACCAGGGCCCGAGAGACCCAGCCTCTTAACCACTGTCCCAAACTAACCTTGGACAAGTGGGCAAGTCACTTCATCTCTCCACCTGCCACTCCTCTCAGGCCATCTCTAAGGCCATGTCACCTGCCAGGTCATTGTTGAACTTTTGCTCACAGGTGGCGGGGGTTGGTCACTGCCCACAGCTTACCACAAAGGGCCTGGGAGAAAAGAAGTTTGTTCATTCAGCTTTTCCCTGTTAGGACAGTGGATACTGTCCAAAGCCCTGTGTCTTTGACTGCCATCTCTTCCAGATCTCCACTGTTACCACAGTCTCCTTGTGATTCCGAAGGCGGTCTTGTGACTGGCAGCTGCCGGCCACTAGAGTGAGGACAGTGTGTCCATCCTTCAGTGGGACAAGGCAGAGCATGGCGAATTTCCAGAGCAGAAATTCTTCCTTCTCAGGCTTTCATTCTAAAGCACAGTCTTCACTGAGCTGAACTGTCTGGGCTGCTGAGCTGGTGTGACCATCTGAATGAGAGTGTTGTTTGTAACTGGGTGCCTTGAGAGGTGTTTCGCCAGCTCCAAGGAAACAATGCATGTCTTCTTATTTGTGTTTGCCAGGCAAGTAGATGCCTGAGATGCAAAAGGCTTTTCTTTTTTTCTTTCCTTTTTGTGTTTTTCAGCACTGGGGACTGGACCCACAGCCTTCCTCCACAATGAGTTATCTCTCCAGCCCCCTTTTTTATTTCTTAAGACAGGGTCTTGCCCAGAGAGGACTCAGACTCATGATCCTCCTGCCTCAGCTGTGGCCTTGACCTAACTGAGAGCTAGAATAAAGATCCCTGAAACAGCCCATCGAGCTGAAGGAACTCTTAGACCTTTGTCCTTTAGGCAGAACAGAGTTGTCCGAGCATTCCCCGCAGCCTCATCACAATACCATCTGGAACTGTCTTCTCTGCCCACGAAGCCTTAACTTACCTCTAGAAGATCCCTGGGAATCAGCAATACTGTGGGGCAGGAATTCACATTCTTCTGCGGTGGGAGTGGGACGCACAGGCACAGCCAAACCAGAGCGTTTCCTGCAGGAGCCTGAAGGCTCCTTAGGAAATTACGCCCTGGCCTCCCAGCCCTCCACAGTGCGAGCACCCGCACAGGCAGGTGGCCTCATCTCTAGCCCCCCTCTGTCTTTCTGGCCTCTTTCCTATCAGAGCCACCTGGATGACCTGGATGCCTGCCTGCAATATCTTGAGACCAGGCAATGGAGGGCGAGGCTTCCTTCCACCTCTGTGATCTAAGCCGAAAGAGGTGCCCCTTTTTCATAAATTAGCTTGCTTTTGCCAAACTGTGTTTGGAGCTGAGAAAAGGGGCCTCACTGGCGGAGGGAACCAGAAGACCAGCCAAAGCAAAGGCCACCTGCTCTCCCTGTGTCACTGCTGCTACTGCCTCTGGTGCCACGGCCCACATGCTCCCGGATTGGCTCTTGGCAGCAGGCCACAGAGGACACTCAGACTCCTAGGGAACAGACAGCTGCGCCTTCAGAAGAGCCAGTCTGGCTCTTTCCCCCAGCATATATGTGAGTAGAGCTTTTGTGTACAGCATCTCTAATGAATAAACTGACGGTGATTTCAGACTGGAGGACTAAGTTTCACATTCTGCATTTCATAAAGTTGTCAGCTTTTGACTGGGCTCCTGTCAAACCTATAACCTACCTTCTCCCTCTCTAGCCAAGAAATCCATTATTGCCATAATTTGGGGGCAGTTCACGTATAGCACTTACAGAAATACCTTCCCTTAGTCACGATGGGCTTTCTCCTCCCAGACCCACAGTCCCCTAGAGTAATCGCTGCCCACCTTGGCCTCGGGGCCAACCACTTCTCTCCCAGGCTGTTCTCCTGAGTGGCCAAAGCTCCTGGTACAGAGTCAGGTTCTCTTTGTTTGTATTGGGCCTCTGGTTTTCCTAAAGCACAAGTCCATGTAGAAGCCTGTCCCCTCTCTACACCAGTCCCAGGTGATCCGGGTCTCTCCCACTGCCTCAGGAAGACCTTCACTGTACCTGAGCTTCTGACATCTGCCATTGCAGCTGCCTTAGTGATGCCAGGGGCGGGGCGGGGGGCGTGCCAGGCCCATCTTTCTTTTTCCCTGTGAGACTCCTTTCGGCCACGTTCTTCTCCTGGCAGATCTGCTTCCAGATTGATTTTTGAGAACCATCACTTTTACATTCCTGATTCTGGTTCGTTTGTTTTTGTTCTTTTCGAATTTCCCAAAACTTAAAACGCTACCCTGAAAATACTATATTTTTGAGTTTTTTTCGTATCACCTTTGCGCTGCTGGATCTTTGGGGGGAAATACAGACTCCTTCAGCGCCAAGGTGTTTAAGATTTGCAACTAGCAATGCAATTTTTTCTAAATATGAGGATATTACCTTTATTAAGAAATTATACTAAACAATGATGTCCTTGATCATTTTCTGTTCTCATATTGCTTTTGATTCTACTTTGATTCTGTGTGGTGGTGAACAAAGATCATTACAAACGAAAACTGTAATTTTGTTATCTTTGATTCAATGGAATTTCTTTACTTAAAAAAATAAAGACTAAAAATGTGCTATTAGGTGTGCTCATTTTGTCTAGCGGGGATTTTCTACTGAAAAGGGATTCCCCCATATCTCCATCGAAGGATGAATATAATGGAAATCCACAAAACACCAATTTTCCTTTACAACTGATGCTAATGCTGCCTTGCAAACAGATATCATAGACATGGCCGGCCCACCGTGTCCTCACAAGGCTGCCCACTGCAAGTCCAGAAAGTCCAGAGCTGAGATAGGAGAGGTGTCCACGTTAGCCCCTCCCTACAGCAAACCACGTGGACACATTCAAGGCTCATGGAAACAACGCTTATTAGGAATAACCGTACTTTCCCAGTAATGTTCTCTGAAGACTAGGTGGAAGTTGGGTTGGGTTGGGTTGGGGTAGTGTTTTCTTCTCCTTTGAATCTCTCTGAACCTGATTGAAAGGGTTCAGGGGCTCAGCCAAGACAGCTGCACCCCCATCCTCTCTGCACACTCAGAGCCGCCTCCTTCTTGGACCATGCAAAACCTTTGACAAGTGGGACAGGCTCTCTGGTAAGCAAGCTCACACACACACAATCACACAAAGCAGCCAGACTGCTTTGACCCAAGAAAACCAATTTGCAAAGAATTTCACCTGGAAAAGATTTCAGGTCCAGGGTGTTAGGTAGGTCGGTACCAGGATGTCCCAGAGTGTCATCCGTGACACCTCTGCTAATCAGTCTTTCAAATTTGTCTTTGGTGACACTGCCTAGCTGCCCCGGTAAAGCCAATACATTTCTTGTTGTGCCTTTCATTAGCTGATTGCTTTCCCATGGCGAGGCCCAAACACCCCACCAGATGGCCTCTGTGTGACAGCCTACCCTCCTGTCTCTGTTGAGTGTCCTTAGAAAAAATTACAGGAAGGCATGGTCCCTTCTTCTGAGCAGTTGACATTTATAGGCATTGCTGAATTGCTGAACTTCCTCCCAAAGGGAACAAAGTAACACATCCCCCCATTGTGGCTACAAGGCAGGGAGCAAACAGGACTTAAAATGGATTAAGTCACTTGCTCAGGGCCAGTGAACTACAAAAAATGTGAAGAGAGATTTGAACCCAGGCACTCTGCTTCCAAATGTGAGGTGTGTACCTAAGGAAGACAGCGAGCCAATAGCACAATGAAGTAGCTATCTGGTAGGAAACAAGCAGGCAAACTCCCTGTCCAGAGGCCCTGCTCCCCTTTTCAAAAATGAATAGTTAGGGGCTGGGGATTTAGCTCAGCGGCATAAGCATGTGCCTTGCAAGCAGGCAGTCGTGAGTTCGATCCCTGGTACCAATAAAAATGAAAAAGACAAAAAAAAAAAATGAATAGTTATAGGGCTGGGGATTTAGCCCAGTGGCGTGCCTGCCTGGCAAGCTCAAGATCGTGAGTTCAATCCCCATACCAAAAAAAAAAGTTAATGACATTCTTTTGGGAGTCTATGAAAATAAACTTTCCTTTGTGCAGGGTTCTACATCTGCGCAGTGGCTCCTCCACTGTCCCTAATTAGGCCCTCTGTGTGTGTGTGTGTGTGTGTGTGTGTGTGTGTGTGTGTGTGACCAACCTCGCCGTCCTTTCCTAGGCTGGACTGTTTTCTGTGAAGCAGTCGGCTGTGTCTTTCCTACAACAAACTTGTATTTTGCTTTAGCCTTGGAATGTGCCCACCTCTGATTTCTATGTTACGTGCATCCCAGAATTTACGCTAGCCTTTTTGATGCTACGGTCGGAATTACCCCAGCATCTCTACTGGACACTGGTTGATCTCCTCGTAAAGTTATTTCCTCCTCTATCTGAGGATGGTTGGGGAAAGTGACCTGGTATAAATTCACGTTCTCATTTCACAGCTCCTCTTCTCCTCTCCCACTTCCCCCCCTCACCCTCAGAAATAAACATGGGAGATCAAACATCAGCAGAAAGGATTCAGAGCAAGAGCTGCGGGGTTGGAGTCCTCACTACTGCCTCGTCCTTTGACCCTAAGAAGATTTCATTGTCAGATTTGGGACTTGTTACCTGGGATAAAGATGGGAATCATTATTAAGAATGCCTGCATCAAGATGCTGAGAGCTCAAATACATTTTCAGTGTTACTTCCCTTTGTGGCTTTCACTTTGAGCCCCACTCATAGATCATTTGTTAGAATGGGATGAAACGTAGAGTGTCCCTGTGGCAAAGCCTCAGTGCACCTAGCTGATGGGCCCACAGGAAAAGCAGAGATACACTGGGATATACGGAGTTTCCAAAAGCTTTCCTGGGCTGGGAATACTGACAAGCTGTGTGTGTACCACCGAACCTTCCTTCCCAATACGTTCAGGCTGAGAGACCAAGGTGTAGTCATTGCATCCATAGGGCTACTTCCGGACACAGCCCCAGAGAGGGCCTTGCTCTTAGACGGAGATACTTAGCTTCTGGCTACCGCTTCCCACTGGGCTTTCATAATCCAGCTGGAGGAGCCAGGCTCTGGCAGCCTGCTTCTCTCTGCTCAAGTTCAGAGTTTGCTCTTAAATCCTTAGACACTGACACTTGCCAGACTTGGTCCTTCCACAGCCTCTGGGTCTCTGCATGTCGGCACACAGAGAGGGCACACGCGGTGCACATTTGAGCCACAGGGGACACCTGGCTAGGCTGCCTGCCAGACCCAGTACAGTAGAACCTCTGCGGCCAGAGCCCAGTCCAAAGGCATTTTAAAGCTCTTAGAGGATTCCAGTGGCAGGAAGGCTGCAAACCACTGGGTCTGGAGCTTTGATGGGCAATCCCCTGGGAGTCTTCTTAAAACTACAGGTTCTAAAAAAAAAAAACTACAGGTTCTGATTCAGCAGGGCTGAAGCTGAGCCTGACATTCTACACTGCTAGCAAACTCCAGAACAGGACAGATGCTGCCCTCAGGGAGCACCCTTCAAATGGTGAGGTTCCAGGGATCCTGTTAACTGTCCTCAACACCAGAGTGACACCACCCATACAGTAGGACCAGAAATGATCTCTTAGCGGATGCCCCAACCTCGTTCCCTGGCTGGCTTAATTTAAGACAAAGACATATCTTTTCTAGGAGGTTTCCCAGCCACCAGGCAGCACAAGGCTCCTCCAGTGATGCTGGTGAACCCTAGGCTGACACAGTGGCCAATCCCAACGAGAGGCTATTGAGGCCGCCGGGGGTTGGTACTCTGCACAGATCCCTGCCCCCAGCTGATGAATGGCCTTCCAGAATCTGCTGACTCCCTTATCCGAGGGGCCACATGAGGACAGTAGACACAGCCCTGTGACCTACCAGCTTTCACTCTGCACAGTCACTGCTTGCAGCAGAGTCCCTGCCTTATCCCAGACATCTCCAGAAGGAAGGAAGCATCAGTGATTGTCACAAAGTTCATGGTTTGTTCCCCCTTCCGTGGCTGTGGCTTTCAAACACATTTCATTGTTCCCATCTTCTGTCTCATAAGTACAGGGTGGCGAGGAGGGACACGTGGAATCACCCACATAAGCAGCTGAGATTTTGTGAGTCTAACCATGTCAGGTGGTTTTGCTCTTGGTTTTTGTGTCTGTGGTATGGGAATTGAACCCAAGGCCTTTGCATTGAACTATACTCCCAGCCCTTTTTTATATTTCTTTAATTTTTGAGACAGGGTTTTTACTAAAGCACTAAATTGTCCAGGCTGGGCTCAAATTTGCTATCCTCCTGCCTCAGCCTCCCAAGAACTGGAATTGCAGATGTGGGTCACTAGGCCCAACTGTATGTCAGCTTTTAACATTCAGCATCTCCGCAGGTGCGCTCCTAGTGGCTTTCCTAGGCCAGTCTTTTTTTTTCCTTTTTTTTCTTTTTTTTTTTTTTTTTTTTTTGCCTACTTGCAAGGCAGGTGCTTATGCCGCAGAGCTAAATCCCCAGCCACCCCTAGGCCAGTCTTGCAGAGGGTCCCCTTCCTTTCCACCCTGCTTGTCTCCAGGGGAGCAATGCCAAACAAGGCCAGCAGGGGGCAGTGTGCTCCCACAATCCCAACAGGCTCGCCAGGTCCCAACCCTATGACTCCTTTCTCAAAGCTGCTGGATTTAATAGTCAGAAAAGGGTCTCAGAGCTAAAGCCCTGGCTCTGCTGATTTTTAAAGGCAACCTCCCCTTGGGACTTGAATGTCCCAAGAACCGTCAGGGACCAGTATCTCCCTGCACTTTTCTCCCCATCCTGAACTCACTGACAAATTGAGAGCCTCCACAAGTCAAAAGGCTGCATCCCAGAGGGCAGGTAGGGGCTCAGGGAGAGATGCTAGGATCCACCACTGGATTCCTTAGATTTGTGGTGTGACTCTTGGAAAACAGAAGTGTATTTTGAGAGGGGAAAAAAAAAAAAAGCTCATTCTTTAGCTCAGCCCCTCTCCCACCCCGACTCTCCCAGCCACCTCTACAGGGGTCCCCAGCACCCTCCACCTTTTCAGATGCTATCTCCATTGGACCCCACTGCCCACAGGACACAGCTGCCCATGTGCTCATACCTGAAATACCGTTTGAGCTCCAGAAACTCCTCAGGGAGCTCTTGGGGATCTCCACCCAGAGCAGTCTCAATCTCTTTCTTTTTAGGTTTTCACATCAAGGGCCCATGTAAGCTTTGATTTGCTAAAGGGCAGCCATGACATTTTTCTTTTGTACTGGGAATCGAACTCAGGACCTGTGCTTACCAGACAGGTGCTGTGCTGCTGAGCTAAATCCCCAGTCCCACCCTTGACTTTTTAAAGGTGGTGGAGAGGAATCTGGGGAGAAGTATTCACTGATCAGTGTCCCACCCTCTGCTCACAGTAATGATAGTTTGCTGTGATTTTCCTCCAGCTCGGAAGTCCTGAGTGAATACCATAGATACTCAGGGGTTGTTGACTGAATGTGATAAAGAAAGGAGCTTCTTGGGTAACTAAGCACAAAATGCAAACCTTAGGGATGAAAGAAAAGGTGGAAGAAATCAATGCATGCATAATAAGAGATCTGCTGTGGATAAGAGAGTCTTGGAGGTGTAAAGGCAGATGAGACCTGATCAGTCCTACAGTTCAGAAAACATTTGGAAGGTCTTTCCACAAAATGTATGTCACCAAGGAGACAACCTTGAAAGCAAGAGCAGACATCTTGGGTTGGTTCCGGGATGCCTCAGTGGCCAGGTAACCTCACCTGCCACCACTAGCCAGCCGACAGGAAGGAGTGTCTGCTTGCAGCTGGCAGTAAGAATAGCAGCCTGGAAGAAGCATCTGCCAGTGCCCGGGAGCCCCGGCCCAGAAAGCCAGCGCTTCCCCTAGAGGAGCACCAAGCTCAGCAAGCAGAGGCTTCTGCTGGGGGCAGGCACCTACAAAAATGAGTGCACACTCCAAAGTCACCAAGCACTTGAAGAAAGCCAGCTCCATAGCAGGAAAGCATCTGTAATTATCAAAGCATGCAGAATGGCACCCCACTGTCCTACAAACTGTGTGCTCGTATTTGAGCTTCTCAGTGTAACGTACTGAAGACATGAGCTTCTGCTGTGTGACTTGAGGGCTGAGAGCCCAGAGAAGACGCTACCTGTACATTTCTAGCCACACCAAAGCCAGGGCTCTGGAGGAGAGAGACCTTTTGGTGTAGAGGATCAATCCTCCCAGACAGACAGTGGGGAGACATGACTGCCACCTCCTAACACTGACTGCACACATCAGACAGAACCTGCCTGAGAGGGTCATCCTAAGAGGAAGTTGCTCCAACCCAGAAATTCTGTGCAGGGAAACCCCTCGCCCACTAAGGGCCACCAATATCACTAGGTCTGCCAAATCATCTTGAGCCTGAGTTCCCCCACTTTGATCCTCTATTTATTATTGGGGGCAGTAACCCCACTTCCTTGCCTGTTTTTACAGACCCTAAGTAGTGAAGCTCTGTGACAAAAGAAATTATGGAGAAGACTAACAGGAGCCTTTGAAATTCAACTTCACACAGTCACCGTCCCAGAGCTTCTGAAGCAGATGGGGATATGCCCGCCCCCAATCCTGCAAAGTTCAAGGGACTCCCCCTACTTTACCCCTCTCCCCTATCTTGGAATGAAGGTGACCTCTGAACTCACCTAAGCTTTGGGAGGGGAGGGAAACTACGGTCACCTCAGGCAACCCTTTGCCAGTCTGGGCCTGGGGCAGCTGAGGAGCAGCCAGAGATGCTAACTACAGATCGGATGGAGGAGGCGCCTCACAAGGCTGTGTTCTCAGCTTGGGCCCGAGGCCCAAAGAGCTGCTCGGCAGCCACCTTGCCATCATACGGGGGCAGGGTGCCCCCAAAGTCAGCAGGCAGAATGTCCTTGTCAATCTCCTGGAAGAAGCCAGAGAGGTCGTCTCCATGGACAAACACCTGCAAGGAAGCAAGGCAGACAGCTGGGCAGGCGGGCCCCGAGGAGGAGGGCAGAGCAGAAGGCAAGGCCTTTCTCTACCGTCCTCCAGGTCTGTACTGCCAGAGACCCACCAGCTCTGAACCAGAGCACAGGGTCTGGCGGGGGGATGCTCCGGGCCCCTGTCCCACTGCACCCCGCCCGTCTGGTCCCCAGAGCTCTATTCCTGTTAGGGCCCACACTCCACACAGACTCACTCTCTGGAGCAGCTTGCTCTTCAGGAAGGGCTTGACCATGTTGTAGGTGGTGGTGAAATACCACGGCTGGTGGATGAAGTGGACAGCTTTGAACCGGGCTGGGAAGGAATCCTGCAGTGACAGAGAAGCAGAACCACATGGCCCCAGTGGACTCAGAGGCTCTCTTCACCCCCACACCTTACCCATGGCATGGGGATCGACTTGCCCAGCACTGTGTATTGCCCCCAAACCAGCCAGTGGGTGGCTCCATCCTTAGGCTAAACACTGGGGTCCCTCACTTCAGGGGAAGAAGCCCCAGAAGCATGGAACTCAGCCCTCTGCCATGGATGCAGAATACCCCTAAGTTGAGTGAAGAAATGGTAGCTTTGCTTGGATTTTGGTGCCTGAGCTTTTTCAAACCCACCTGCCTGAAGAGTGCACTGCAAATTCTTCCCCCCACCTACCCCAATACTGGGGATTAAACCCAGGGCCCTTGCCCTTAGTTATATCCCTAGCCCTTTTTTATTTTTATTTTTAGAGACAGGATCTTGATAAGTCTTTAATTCCCCAAAATGAGATTAAGCCTGTGATTCTCCTGCCTCAGCCTCCTTGAGTACTGGGATTACAGGTGTGTGTTACTCTTAGAGACCACAGGGCCATGACTGTCGTGCCTCATCTTCCTTCAGCAGCCCCCACACACCTGTCCTTTCCTCAGTCACACAGAGTGGCTCTAAGGCAGCTCTAAGCAAGGGCTGTTGACGCATCCGTGTGCGCAGCAGTGAGTCTTTGGCAGGGTGGTAACAACCCTTCCTCAGGGTAAATTTATAAGCAAAAAGAGGCAGTGTGATTCACAGGGACCGAGGGCCAGCGATTCCGGTCAGAAGATATAGATTCAAGTCCAGCCTCTGCCATTTCATCCCTGGGCAACCTTGAGAAGTCACTTCCCTTGCTAAGCCTCAACTTCCAGGTTTGTAAAATAAAGCAGGGAAGCAGGGAGAGGATGCTCAGGAGGAGTCATTGAAATAATGACTGAGTACTTGGCAAACTTTCAATCAGCACACAAATGTTCACGGTTCAGATTGCCACTGTTTGGGGGCACTGGGAGTTGAACCCAGGGCCTTCATACTGAGTTACATCTCCAGCTCTTTTTTTGTCTTTTTTTTTTTTTTTTTTTTTTTTTTTTGACATGGGGTGTCGCTATGCCAGTTCAGGCTAGCCTTGAGCTCACTCTGTAGCCCAGGCTGATCTCGAACTCACAACGATTCTCCTGCCTCAGCCTCCCAAGTGCTGGGATTACAGGTGTGAACCACCACGCCCTCCAGCTCTTTTTTATATTTTATTTGGAGACAAGATCTCACTAATTCACCCAGGCTGGGCTTGAACCTGTGAGTCTCCTACCTCAGCCTCCTAAGGTGCTGGAGTTCTAGGCCTGCACACACATGCTCAGCTGTTATTGCTCTTTATGGCACTAGGTAGTCGACTCCTTAGGATGCTGCCAGCACCAAGACACTGGCAAGCAATGCCCAGTCTCACCACGTGTGGGTGGCCGGGACGCTAAGCCCTCACCTGCAGCATGTCCACCATCTTCCGAAGATCCGAAGCCCGGAGGCTGGCAGCCTGCTGCATGGTAAAGCCCTTAAAGTTCTCAATGATGCAGAAGCCATTAATCTGCGTTTCCTCGTTTTCCAGGAGCTTCTCCAGGATGAAGCAATATGCCTGCAAGATCTGGGCCACACAGCAAACAGGGTGTGAGATCCACCCCACAAAGATAATTAAGCCTGGAGCCCCAGGGGACAGCTAAGTGGCACATTCCTTACTGGAGGAACTTGTGTAAGGCCTCATCTAGGGCAGCTTCCCTCTGCAAGTGTACACCCAGAAATAACCTTGAAAGTCACATCTGTGGCTGGGCACCAGAGTGTTTCTCTGAGACTCAGAACAGTAGAACTCCAGAAATGTTCTAAATGTCTAACAAATAAGGGACAGGTGCAATGACAGTGTGCTTAGAACATGGAATTTAGGGACCAATAAAGTACCTAACATGTACTAATAAGGTGACAATATCTGGGAGCAGAATTATGGATGATTTTAAATTTGTGATTCTTATATATCCTAAAATGAGTAGATATCATCTGTAAGATGAAGATATTTTTTAAAAAATTCCCCTTAAGGAAGTTTCAGTCCAAAACTAGTATCTTATTCTATGGGAAAACATCAGAGGCATCCCCAGTAAGATCTGGAAGGACATAAGGTGTTCATTGTCTCCACCACCACTGGACCCTATGGCATCAATTTGGGTGGGGGGCGTGTGGCTGAGACAGGGTCTCGCTGTGTAATGCAGACTGGCCTTAAACTCACTAATGTAGCCCAGGCTCTCTTGAATTCATAGCAATCCTCCTGTTTCAGCCTCCCAAGTCCTGGGATTACAGATGTGCATCACCATGCATGCAGTAATTGATTTTTTTTTTAATCAGGGCCATAAGATGAAGAAAATGTATCACCTTTATTTACAGGTAATAGTAAGCATTCTTAAAAAAATTCAACAGGGGGGCTGGGGATTTAGCTCAGCGGCATAAGCGCCTGCCTTGCAAGCAGGCAGTCGTGAGTTCGATCCCCGGTACCGATAAAAAAGAAAAACACCAAAAAAAAAAAAAAAAAAAAAAAAAAAAATTCAACAGAATCCATTGTAAAACAAACACATGAAAAATAATTCAGTAAAATAGAATACAAATTAACACAAAAAATAACAATCTTTTTATATACAAGCAACTACTAATTAGAAGAGAAAGCCCCATGTATAGCAGCAAGAACAAAATAAATACTGAAGACCAATTTAAAGACAAATGTGCACAATATTCAGAAGGAAAACTTGAAAACTCCTGAAAATTCGAAAGTACAGTTTTATTCAAAATTTGAATAAAATGGATGGCACCTGTTTGTAGATGGGTCAACTAACCATAAATGTGGCATTTTTAAAGATAATAATTCTCCCCAAGTTTGTCATTTACATGTAGTATTATCCCAGTAAAAATGCACCTGATGTTTCTCTTAGAGCTGAACAAACTAATTTTAAAGTTCACAGATGAAAACTAATATTCAAAAATAGCTAGGAAGGCCAGGTGTAGTATTACACAACTGTAATCCTAGCACTCAGGAGGCTGAGGGAAGGAGGTTTGCCACAAGGTTGAGGCCAGCATGGTGAGACCCAGGTAGGTTTCTTTTATTTGGTGGTGGGGGGTCTTTTTGAGACGGGGTTTCTCTATGCAGTTCAGGCTGGCCTTGAGCTCACTGTGTAGCCCAGGCTGGTCTCGAACTCCCAAGGATCCTCTCGCCTCAGCCTCCTGAATGCTGGGATTACAGGTGTGAGCCACCATGCCCGGCTCAGACAACATTTTTTAAAACTGGTTTTTAGTGTTTCCTCTAAGAACCATTTGGTAGGCTCCACGGCACGTGCCAGTGCCACAGTTCTCTTACTTTTTCTCTCCCCCGCCCCACTGACCTCATCGAAGGTGATTTCGTCAGACTGCCAGTCCTCAATCTTGAAGAGCATGACCACTCGGCCGTACTTGTCGCGGCTGGACAGCACGCCCGGGTAGCCGGCCTCGATGGTGCAGCGCACGGCCTCGGGGGACAAGCTGTTGAAAAGCTCGGGGTACTGCAGCCGGAAGTGCACGTAGCCTGCAGGAGGCAGAGCCGAGGAGCTTTAGCGAGCCAGCCAGGGGAGGCTGGTGGCCCCTGGTGGGGTTGGATGGGGGGACGCGGTGGGGCCAGAACCTGCACTCCTGCATACCATCCTGTGTGTGCTGGAGCACGACACTCGGCCCGTCTGGGCCCCCAAGGTTCCTCTCCACAAAAAAAAAGAGATGGCAAGATGGGTGTGGTGACACACACCTGACATTCCAGCAGTTTGAGCCCTGCCTGGGCAATTTGCAGTTTAGCAAGACCTTATCTCAAAATGAAAAGCCCCAAAAGAGCCAGAGATGTAGCTCAGTACAAACACACTGGGCTTTCAATCTCCAGGACTAAGAAAAAATTTATTTATTTATTTATTTATTTATTTATTTGTCTTTTTCGTTTTTTATCGGTACCGGGGATCGAACTCAACGACTGCCTGCTTGCAAGGCAGGCACTTATGCTGCTGAGCTAAATCCCCAGCCCCTAGCTAAATCCCCAGCCCCAAGAAAAAAATTTAAATAGAATGATTTTCCTTTGCACTGGGCGCTCCCTGATCATTTCACCTCAAACTTCAACTTCTCTCTCCTGTTTTCTTTTCTTTTTTTAAAGACAAGGTCTATGTAGCTCAGGCTGGCCTGGAACCCACAGCGATCCTCCTGTCTCAGCCACCCGAACGTTAGAATCACAGGCATGTGCCACCATATCTGGTCCTTTTCTTTGTCTCTTACCACTACATTTTACATTCTCTTATTTTAAATTTATCTGGATTTTGTGTGTGTTTGTGATTTTTTGAGACAGGGTCTCACTATGCAGTTTGGCCTTGCCTTGAGGTCACTTTGTAGCCTAAACTGGTCTGAAACATGTAATGATCCTCCTGCCTCAGCCTCCTAAATGCTGGGGTAACAGGTGTGAGCCACCGCGCCTGGCTTTATTTATCTGAATTATCTCTACTCTTAGACTGGGTCTGAGAATGGGGGAACTGCTACCATGGAGCCCAAGACTGAGAAAAGACGTTCTTCTGGGAATCCAGTGCTGAAAGACTCCTTCCTTCCTTCCTTCCTTCCTTTCTTCCTTCATTTGCTGTCAGAGCTAAACAGGAACTTAAAGGCAATCTGGTCCCCCACACACGCACACCCACTTTGTGGGGAAGGGTAGGGAGGCCCAGAGTGGCAGGAAGCCGATCTTCTTAGAACCAGGCTCAGGGTGGACCCCTGCTCTGCCTTCCTCCCACCTTCCAGAACCAGCCTTACCTTTGAGCAGCTCATAGGCACGGCCCACATCGAACTTGCGTGCCCGGATGAAGCGCAGGAAGAAGGCGCTGTCTCTTCCCTGCACCCTCTCGGCCACTGCCAGGGCCAGCTCCTCCCCGGAGGCTGCGTGTGTCTGCACCAGCTCCTGCAGCTCCCGCACCACCTCTTCCCGAGTCTCCTCCCTCTCGTTCAGCTCATCCTTGGCCTGGAACAAGGTGGCATGGGATGGAGTTGCAAGCGGTGCCGGGGAGAAGCAGCAGGTAGGAGACATGAGCAGACAATATAGTGTCAGTTTCAATAAAAATGCATTATTGTAAAAGACAATCATCATGATTGCCCCCTCGACACTCCTCCTTGCTTCAAACACACTTATCCCATCATTCTTGCCACTTTCTGAAGCAGTTCTGCAACGTCTTCTTTCTTGAGTGTCTTTAGTTGTACATGGCTGCCTTAACATCCTGAATCAATTCAAAACATTTACCTTTCATGGTCATTTTGACTTTGGGGGAGACCAGAAGTCACGTGACGGCAGCTCAGGTGAGTAAGGTAGATGAGGACACACTGTAATGTTTTTCCAAGCCTGCCTGTTCTTTGGGGGCTCTGGGCAGAGGCATTCACTACAGCTGTCACCACCCCCTAGAGGAGATGGGCTCCTTCCAGAGTTGGCTCACTGAGAGGACACAGGTGCTGCTGCTGGGTCTCTTGTTCTCCAGCCCGCAGGGGTGGCATCTGATTTAGCTGCGCCCAGATTGTCGTGTTGGAGAAAATGAGGTAAAGCTGTGTCCTGCATCTGTCTACAGGGGACCTATTGCCAACAACCCGTTTCTAACTGTAACTGTCCACACCCCTATATCCTTAAAGCAACCTGGTGAATCTTTCAATGCGTTTCCTACAACTTATCATGATTGGCCTTCTCATCCCTGTCTCAGAGGGGCAGACTGAGGCTCCTAGTGGTAAAATATTCTTGCCCAAGTTTACCTGGATAGGGGATGGGGCTAGGACTCCACTCAAGCTCCTTCTTGTCCTTTAGCTGCCTCCCAGGCTTGATTCTGAGCTTTTCCCAAACAAGCATCCACAGCAAAGTGTAGCATCCTCCGACAGAACCTCAGCCCCCTCCCTTGGCTGGGTCCAGAACTCTCAGGCCCTAACGGAGCTCTCCGGCGGACAGGAGGGTAAAGAGAAAAGCGGGGCACAAAGGTGGGGGCCCTAATAGCACTTCCCTTGAGATGCCCGGAGATGTAAGCCAAGAGCCCAGGCCCAGCTCAGCCTCCCCTCAGCCTCCCCAGCTAAGACAGCCCTGCCGGCCTTCTCAGAGCGCAGTCCGATCACCTCTGAACTAGGCCAGAAACCAGCTTTCCTAGGAGCAGAGGGCAAGACCCAAAGAGGGAAGCCCCTTTTCTCAAGTCACACAGCAAGCTGGAAGCAGGTTTGGTTCTAGAACTTTGGGCCTCTTATCTGTCCCGTGGGGACAGAGTTGGGTCCTTATCCACCTGAGCTACTTCCAAATGACTGCTTCTCATAGGTGAGGCTAGGATGATCCCTAGTCCAGAGGCTTCAGGCTACAGTCTTGGGTTAGGCAGCACTGGGTACTGCTCAGCCCAAGTGCTTCCATAGCCCTGACCTCCAAGATGGCCCTAGAATAGGCCAGTCCAGCGGTCCAGGAGAAAGGTGCTGCTGGTACAGCCTTACCCACCCTCCTCCATCCCCGCGTTGCCTCCCTAGATGGCGCCCCCTCTGCACCCTGGCCACCTCACCTTCTGCAAGGTGTGGCGAGGCAGCTGGCTGCACCGGCCAAACACAGGCCCGTGGTCCTTGGTTGTGAGCTTCTCCAGCTGGGCCCGGAGTTCCTGCTCCTCTTCGGGGACCATTCGGAACGTGCCCACCTGAGCAGAGAGCCATCAGGGAGAAACAAGAGCAGCACTGAGTCCCATCAGCCTGAGCCAGCTGGCCAGTGGAGCTGCTGAGACCTGACTGGACAGAGAAGGGGGAGCTGGGGTACTCACCCCCTCTGACATGCTGCTTCTGAAGACACAGCCCTTGGAGAAGAAAGGATCTGCTACTTCCTTTGTGCTGGGTTCCAACTGGTCCGGGCCTAAGAGAGGGAGTCAGAGGTGTGATGGTAGAGAAGCCGGCCTGTGATTGCCTCAGAAGAGTGGGTCTCAACTATTCCCTGTGCTGGAATCCCCTGCAGGCGGGTGTTTGTTAGAATGTAGGTATAGGGGCTGGGGATTTAGCTCAGCGGCATAAGCACCTGCCTTGCAAGCAGGTGGTCTTGAGTTCGATCCCCAGTACTGATAAAAAGTTAAAAAAAAAAAAAAAAAAAGAAAGAAAGAAAGAAATGCAGTTATGTGGATCCTGGCACTCTGAAGGTCCCTGACAGCCCTAAGAATCTGTAAGTCAGAACAGCCAGAGTGACTCTGGAGGAGATGATCTTGGGTCACAACAGCTTGGAGAAGGGGTGCTGTGCAAATACCTCAGACCTCGCTGTACAGGCAAGTTCGTTCAGCCAGGAAAACACTAGAGCTGGGCTTCCTTCTCACTGTGTCTCCTTGCCCCAGCCTGAGGTTTCTCCCCAGTGTATTCTGTCTCTCTGATCCTCATTCTGAGTGTGTGACCAATGCTTCGGACCCTGCTAAGTACTTCCCAATTCAGTGTCTCTGAGCTAGGCCTGGCATTTTTGTTCCCATTTTACATAGGAGGAAACAAGCCCAGAAAACAAGTGACTGGTACCAGGCAACATAACCTAAAATACTCAGGAGTGTTGATTCAGACCTAGGCTGTGACTTCCTGCCTGCTCTAAGAGAAGCCAGCCGAGGGCAGAACACAAGCAGGACCTGGGTTCCAATTCTGTTTCTTCGGGTTGTAGGCAGTGTGATTTCACCTGTGTCTTGGTTGTTCCCTGTTGAGATGGAAAGGTTATGAAATGTAATTAAACCACATTCACACAAACAGTGCTCAGCCAGCAGAACAAATTCCACCTGTGACCCGTAGCCAGCCTTCATCTCACTGGGTTCTTTTAGAGACAGCTCTTCTGTCCCTAGCGCCTTTCTTCAAGGACCCTTCGCCATCTTTCTCCTTCTCTGGCCAGGTTCCAGTGGCAAATATTGGACTGGAACCTTCCATCTGTATAGCACTGAGTCCATTTTGACACCTAGAGCCAAGACCTCACCAGGTAAACTCTCTAAGAGAGCTGAAGTGACATGGAAGCCTTGCCAACAGTCAGGAAGACAGGGGTCTGAATCGGGCGCGGTCATCCATGTTTCCTGAGGCAAGCTATTTAACTTTTCTGGCCTCAGTTTCCTCATTTGCAAGCTGAGGATAACAACAGCATTAGCAGGAGGAGCTGTCATGAGGGCCAGGTCATCTCTGGAATGTGCCTTGCACAGAGCCATGCTCTGGATCCTGCTCTTCTCCCTCATGTTAGCATCACGCTGACTGTCAGCCTAACTGGTGTGGAGAGATCTGGAGGATCTTGGGGAATATCTGAGGCCTCCCACCTTCAACTCCCCCTACTCTGCAGTCCCAGCAAGGGCAGGAAAGTTCTGGGGGCTGGACTCACAGAGGAACTAGAGGAAAGTCATTGGAACTTGCAGACATAGACAGAGATAGACAGGCTGAAAGATGGCTGGCTACAACTCAGGTTTCTCTCAAAATAGGTAGGAGGAACTATCAGCTTCGAAAAACATTTATGAAGAGAATACAGTGACAACAATGCCTGGCCTGCTCTTTGTGTTCCTGTTCCTTGCCATCTAGGATTGCCAGATAAAACACAATAATTTATTATCAATATTTGAGACACACTTAGACTAAAAAAGGATTTAATGTTCATCTGAAATTTGCAGTTTTCTCAGTACTGAGGATTGAACCCAGAACCTTTGCACAGAGCTATATCCCCAGTCTTTTTTAAAAAACACATTTTGAGACAGGATCTCCCTAAGTGACCCAGGCTGGGCTCACACTGTCTCATGAAATTTGCATTTTACCAGGAATTCTGTCTTAGTATTTACTGCAGCCACCACCAAGTGGGTAGTGACCCCGGAGAATGGCACACGGGGGTTCAGGTGTACATCAACCTAGGATATGGGCTCCCTCTGCTCCCCAACTCCCCACTCTTGTCTGGAGTCTCCTTACCTGCCAGGTCAGCAGCTCCTCCCTGGGGCTACCTGGTACCTGCACGAATCTGGAGCTCTGGTGGTGCCCTCGGCCAGGGGCATGTCCAGTCAGGAGGTCGGGATTACTGTGTCACAAGGAACTTCTCATTGCCCAGTTTCCCATTAAGTCGGGCTCCTGGGAGGCCCAGAATGGGTGAGTGCAGTGCCAGGGGGGAGAGGAGAGAGGCCAGCCTGGCAAGAGACTGTCAAAGCCCTCCTTTGTGTGCTCCTGCTCAGCCATGTGGAAGCTGGAATCTAGGCCAGCTCCATCCCTCTTCCCTGCTCTCTTGCTCCTCAAGCTCCCCGGGGCTTCCACTCAGGGAGAAAGTTGCCAAGAGGCGAAGGAAAATTGTATGTGTCATCCCAGGTGCAGTGACAGCTCTGGCAAATCCAAAGACGTGCCCTTCCCCATGGTCACGATGCACGGGGCCAGTTGGGAAATGCAGCCTGTGCTAGGTGGTATGATGCAGGGTAAGGTCAACCTCAAGAAGCAGACTGCACACCGTGTATGTGTGTGTGTGTGTGTGTGTGTGTGTGTGTGCCCTGCGTCTTGCTGGAAATCCACTGCAAGACCTCACGCATGCTCAGCAGTTGCTCTAGCACTGAACTACACTCCCAGCTCCTGCCCACCTCTCACTCATAGCTCCTTCTGACTAGGAGAAGTCGCTGCATCCTTCAATGACTCCATTCCCTCATCTGAGAAGGGGAATTGTTAGAGGACCGTGCTCATGGTATTAGGGACTATGAGATGGCAGCAAAATGTTTAGTGGAAGCTCTTAGCTGCCTGGTATGTTAGCAGTTACTCCAAATGCAGACCCAAGAGGCACCTCAGTGGAGGGAACATTAGTATCCAGCCCTCTGAACAGCAAGAATTTCCTTGGCAGCCCTTCAGCAGATGGCTCTCTAGCCTCTGCTTTGGTATTGGAGGAAGGAATGGACAGTTCTCCTCTAATACCACTCTTGGTCCAGGTTTGCCTCCCAGAGGTGCCCTGGTCAGGGTCAAGCTCTTGTGCCTGGGACATTTTTTCAAACCAGTTCCAGAAATGCTTTCTGATTTCCCCACAGGGTTTTTGTTTGGTGATGCTCGGTGTCTCAGTTACTTTTTTCTCATTGCTGAGACAAAATATCCAACCTCCAAAATTAGGGAAGAAAGGTTTATTTAGCTCATAGTTTGTGGAGGTTTCAATCCATAATCAGCAGGCTTCAAGGCAGGGTGGCACATGGCAGAGGGCAACAGTCCATGGTGACAGAAAACAGCACAAGCAACAAGAACAAAAGGGGAGGAGCACGGAGAGAAGACTCTTTTTTATCCCTTATGGTGTATGTAGGCCACACCCACTTGGGGGCAGCACTCATATCCATAATCCCAGCACTGGACCACGAGTCATTCTCAATCTCTAGAAGCGGAGCTGGGGATTTAGCTCAGTAACATAAGCACCTGCCTTGCAAGTGTGCGGTCGTGAGTTCGATCCCTGGTACCAATTAAAAAAACAAAACAACAACAAAAAAACCACAATCTCTAGAAGCCTACCCCATGACTGCATGAGGCTTTGGGGGTACATCTCGGCTCAAACCATAGCACTAGGGATGGAACCCAGGGCCTTATGCATCTGAGGCAAGTGCTCTACTACCTGTCCCAGTGATCTGATTTTTTAAAAATTTTTAATTAAAATGGTTTAATGAATCCAGGCATGGTGACACACACCTGTAATCCCAGGGTTCAGGAGGCCCAGGCAGAAGAATCGATGCAAGTTCAAGGCCAGCCTGAGCTACAAAGTGATTTCAAGGCCAGCCTGAACTGCATAGGGAAACCATGTCTCAAAAAGTCAAAAATTAATTAATTAAATAAAATAAATAAAACAACAACAAAAATAGTTTAATTTTAAAGAGATGATGACTATTAAGATACAATTTTTGAAAGCATTGGATGCCAGATGATGAATTCCATCTCAAACATTCTGTGCCCTAGGCAGGTCCTTAGACCAACAGCCTGTCCCAATCAATATGGCTGGGCCAAGAGATTTCTGCAGCCCTGATCTCACAGCCCTTCTCCTGCCTCTTCCCATCCTAATAGTCCTGGAACCAAGGAAGGAAAGGGGACTTGCCCTGGTGGGCCCCTTTTGCATCATGGCTGTTGCTAAGACAAAATACTTGAACTCCAAAATTAGGGAAGAAAAGGTTTATTACGCTCACAGTTTGTGGAGGTTTCAGTCCATAATCAGCAGGCTTCAAGGCAGGGTGGCACATGGCAGAGGGCAACAGTTCATGGTGGCAGACAACAGCACCCCAACCTTCCAGGTGTAAGCAGAGGGGAATCATTTTCTCTTGGTACAGCAAACTGGAAGCCTGGGGAGGGACTCTGAAAGCCACACGCTGCTTAGGAATAGAGTCTGGGTCATCCTGAAGCAAGCTCAGAGTTCAGTGCCCAGGGGTTACTCTACTGTGCTGCCCGGGGAGTTCCATATGCCCCCTGGCTCCTGGGGAACGCAACATCATCCTGTTCTTTAGGGAAGCAGCACCACATGGAAAGAGTCCGGTCAATGCAGACTCTGTTTTTTGATGAGCAGTAAGCGTCCTGGGCTCAGAAGGTTTTAGGGAATCCTGGGGTGCGGCCACTGCTTTGAGAAGCAAGAAGCGAGAAACAAGAGACCGTCTGATCTCTGCCTTAGAACCACACAGTGGGAAGGGAGTCTGGCCTGACCAGCCAGCAGCCATCCTCCAGAAGGCAGCCACAGTCCAGCAAGAACGGTTTGCCCAGTAGGGTGTGGTGGAGCACTTTGGATAAGCAGAGGACAGCAAGTTGGAGGCCAGCCTGGGCAATTTAGTGACTGTCTCAAAATAAAATAAAAAAGTGCTGGGGATATAGCTCAGGAAGAAGTCCCTGGGTTCCACCCCCAGTACTAAATAAATAAATAATTCTATCTTGTGGCCATGGGGAATTGAACAGGGACAGGGAATGAAGGCAGGAATCAAAGGACAAAATCTGTACATAAACTTGTTCAGAGAGAATTTTTAAACTAAGTTTAACAATCTAGGAAAACGAGCTTGTAACTCACAAAGACAGTAAAATCAGATTAATAATATGGACCTATAGCCAGGTGCACACGCTAATAGCCCTAGTACTCTAGGAGGCTGAGGCAGGAGACTCTGGAGTTTGAGGCCAGCCCGGGCAATTTAGTGAGATCCTGCTTCAGTAGGACTTTTCAATGTATTGTGGTTTTTGGGGGTTTGTTTTGCTTTTGGTACTGGGGATTGACTTAACAACCACCTTGCACTTGCCGGGCAGGTGCCTATGCAGCAGAGCTAAATCCCCAGCTCCTTTAGTAAGACTTTTAAAAATCAAAAAAGTCTGGGAATATACCACTGTGTGAAGGCTCTGGATTCAAAACCCAGTGCCTGAGTGGGGCTAGGAGGAGTGAGAAAAGATCACTTTCCCAGCGGGAACGGCCGAAATACTCCGAAAAGCCCCACCCGCTCAGACCTTACGGTTCATCCACCAACTGCGCCAAAGCGGCGGAAATGGGCCGCGGAGGCGGGACCTGTTGCCCTGGGCAACGGAAGTGCGACTGCGTCCCATTGAGCGGGATTTTCGGAAAGCGGCGGCGCCACTGTGGAGGTTGCAGAGCTGGCTGAGGCTGCTGTGTAGATCGACTTCGCGCGTTGCCCGGGCAGTGACGAGGCCCTGGAGAGGGAACGGTCTCAGGATAAGAAGCTGCTCTTCTGAGGGGGCGTTCCGGTATGTTTTGTGTCTCGGGAGGTGGGCGTCCCCTGGCCGCGTACCTTGAGTTTTGCAGTTTTCTCCTCCCGGGCCGCGCGACTCTGACTCCTCTATTTTCTGTTTTTGGTCCTGGGGATTGAGCTACAGCCATAGCCCTTTTTGATATTTTAATTTTGAGACGGCCTGCTAAATTGCGCTGTCTGGGCTTGAACTTGCGACCTTGCTGCCTCGGTCCCCCAGAAGTGCTAGGATTGCGAGCGTGTGCAGCAGCGCCCTGCCCCGCCCCTCCTGGTGGAAATTCCTCCCCGACTGTCAGGGTTCAGCTCCTACTTCTGGGAGATTTCTGCGGCCCGGGTTCGTGTGTTTGTAGTTCAGGTAGTCCGCGGGAGCTCGGCGCTAGTCGCCCTCGTTGGCATCATCACCAGCTGCCTCGTTTTGTATAAGTTCGTATTTGTCTTCCTTTCAGGAACTGGAGCTTCACTATCTCAGGTCGTAATTTTATGACTCTGACGCTTTCTGGGCTTCTTGGCAAGGATTCTGTGCTCACAGAAGTTTCACAGCACCTGCTTGGTACTCAGCTCTGGTTTTAGCCGGATCTTAGCAAATGTACTGGCTGCCCTATTTGCGTTCTCTCTGTACCCAGATTCCAGCCTGGACATAGTTTTTAAAAAGCCATGGAATCTTGGGAGTTTGGAGCTGGACAGACTTGGATTTCAGTTCTCTGTCATTTATTAGCTCTTTAACGTAGAGGAAATTGGGAAATGTTTGACTCTGAACCTCAAGAGTTCCTCTCAGTGGGACCGTAGCTGGGGTGTAGCTCACTGATAGACCAGAAACGAATAAGCTCCTGGATTCTACCCAAACTAAACAAGTGAAGAATGGGGGTGGTTATTACCTCACAGGGATGCGGGAAGCACCTGATTAAGCATCTGAGTATAAAGCGCTGGGCCCGTTATCTTGGCTGTTTAGGAGTGTTGAGGTATTTGTTAGGTGTCTAGCAGAAGCTAGATACTAAGTGCTGAAGATACATTAATACAAAGCCAGATGCGGCCCTTGCACTCGTGAGGTGTATAGTCTGGAGGGAGCCATAGCTGTTAGTCTGATAATCAAAAATAATATTGAAAGTTGGTGACATTGTGTGGTGGGAGAGTTTGCCCGTAGGGAAGCGGATATAGGGGAACATTAACCAAGTATGAATTGAGCTGATTTCTGAAGGATTTGTAGGAATTAGCAATAAAGGTGAGGAAGGACCCTAGCTGATTTAAAGGAGCCCTTCTGGTGGAGGAGAGTGAGCTAACTGAGTTAATTTATGGGAAAGCTCTTAGAATACTGGTACACCCTAGGTTTATCATATATCTTAGTTGTTTAATAACAGAGATGAACCAAGGGAAAAAGAAACGAGAAAAGGGGCTGGGAAGGAGGAAGAAAATAGAAAATAAAAGGATTTGGACTTAGAATTTGTG